AAATAAAATTATCGAACTGTAAACAGCATTGCGAAATGGTAGTACTATACTCAATTATATAAATACTAGTGTTGTCCCGAGATGCCCCACAAAAGTCAGTTTACTGAAAATAATACTATTCAAAAAGTTCAATTCCAAACATTTTTTTTAAATCAGATTCTAAAAGAGAATAAAAAATACTGTCTGAAAAATATAAACTTTTTATAAATAAAGCAAATAAATCTTTTTTAAATAAACCTTTTTTAGATAAATCTTTTGTCGCTGTATCGCTTAAGAAAATACGCAAGTTTTGTTTTTCGCAAACTTACTGATGCATTTTGGTACTTTTAATGCATTTTGGTATTTCTAAAATTAAATTTTGTTTACAATAATAAAGCACAATAATTTAAATGATTTATCAAAGAAAAATTTAAAAAAAAAATTATTTTCGGCTGAGATATAAGGCTTCAGATATATGCTTCACATAACTGTCCCGTTATGTTCCGTTGTCCCGATATGCCCCACTCTACCCTAATGTCAAAAATAAAAGATTTATACAAATGTTTGTCTTCAATTTTTATAAACCAGTCGATGACATTCATGTTGCTTTGCAATTGGTTTAAAAAGAGCTTAGTTTTTAGGTCTTTGTTAATTTTAGATAAAATGATTTTGATAATTCTCCCTACCTCATTTTTTGCTGGATTTTCATCAAGTTTTCATCAATTGATAACTATTGATTGTTGCAGTGTCTGTATCCACACATTCTATAGACTCAGAAAAATTAAAAGATGAACTTGTTAAGGAAAAAGCATTTCACATGTGTCAAGATTTTGTATGGTCAGGGTTTCTTTGTGTTCACGCTCTTTCAACTATGTGTTCTGCAAGAGTTAAGTGTATAGAACTCTTGTAGAACACTCTATAGAACAATTAGTTCTCTCCTAAAATATAAAATTATATTTAATCTTAAAATTGAACCTCGTATTCTAAGTTCATCATCAGATATTGTTAATTTGTTGTTTTGTTTTGAGGGAATAAATCCTCTATGTCCACATAAACACAATCATTATGTGCCTCTCGTTTTCATTCCAGATAGGAAATGTTTGAAACGTAAAATCTGTAAAAAAGTTAATTTTACCAATCAATCAACAATTCATATGTTTGCAGAAAAATATATTATGAATGAAGTATCATCTATATCTACCATTAATGATAAAACTGTTTCATGTACACTTGTCAACGAAAAGTGTCTTCCTCTCAATAAAAAAATTGTTTGCAATTTTTTTATTGATTCAAAATCATTTTATCCAAATAATACATTATCTTCAAATGAAGATAGTTCTAAAATTAAAGACAAAAGCATCTTATCCACTGAAAATTTAGAGTCTAGCTTAAAGAAATTGTCAAGTGAACCCTGTAGGGAATATGAAATTGCATGTTTTCGTTTGAAGGCTTCAAAATAGAAGTACTTTGAAAGATTTACAAATAAAAAATTTGATTCGAAATGTTTTTGTTCCTGATGAAACTTATTCTTTTCCAAAAACAAACGGGCGATCTTTCAAACTTAAATGGTTAAAACAATTTTCATGGCTTAGTTATACACCTTCTGAATATAGAGCATTTTGTTAGTGTTGTGTTTTGTTTGAATATAAATACCCTTCAAAAGCTTCTAGATGTAAAAATTTGTATTCTCAGCTATTTAAATACTGGTCAGATGCTGCGAGCACTTTTAATAGACATTATCGTTGGAAAAAAGGAAATATTTATGAACATCACTCAGCTGTACAAAATCTACATTGTAATACCTGGACCGTATTTTCCGCATTTTTTTAAATACTATGAATGAAAATATTTAAAATGTAGATATTTTAATTAATAAAGAATATGAAAAGGAAGTTGCTATAAATTATGAGAAAATTGTTGACTTTTTCTTAGGCCGACCTAATATAGCTTTCAAAAGTCATTGTGATAATTCCCAAAATCCTACTATTGGTAAATATTCTTTAGTGGGTGGATTAGGTAATTTTATTGAACTTTTAAACTACAGAATCAGAGGTGGGGATAAAGTTCTTGAACATTATCTTAACAGCTGTGCATAGAATGCATCTTATATTTCTGATTCGTCACAGAATAAATTAACAATTAATTTTTTTTTCTTGCAACGAAAAAAAAATTAATTGTTGTTTGTCGTACAAGATGGGTTGAACGCATAAAAGGATTAGATTATTTTGAAAATTTGTTTGTACCTATTGTTTTTTGTCTTGAAGGAATGAGATTGAACCTAGAATCAAAATGTACAAAAGAAACTTCTTGTTTTTTAAAACTTGTAACAAGTTTTGACTTTATTGTATCCTTAGTGATAACTCGGACAGTTCTTGATTACACAGTTCCTGTTACACAAATGTTACAGGGTAAAATTTTTGATATTTGTGATAGTTTAGGTTCTATTTTAGCTTTAAAAAATTATTCTTGACTCTTAGAAATTTAATAGATGATTGTAACATAAAGTGGTATGCTTCTATTCTTTGTCTTTCTTGTAAAGTTGATGTTGCAGAAGCTAAATCAAGATATTCAAGTCGTCAAACAAATAGAAATAACGTTGCTTTTTGTTCAACTTCAGATTATTTCAAAAAAATTATCTATCCCACTTATTGATCACCTCCTAAGTGAAATTTCAGATTTACTGATGATGCTTTAGTAGCTTACGATGGCTTTGTTATTATTCTAGACAAAATGGTCTCTAAAAAGATTGACTAGAAAATTAGGTTTTAGATATGAGGCGATTAAAAAATTACACACGAAGTACTACGTCATCTGAGAGATTGAGCAATATTGCTCTAATGTTTGCACTTAAATCTCGGAGATTAAATTTTACAGATAAAATGTGTTAACCATTTAGTGTTTTTTATCTTTCTCAATAAACCAAGTTATATTTTTATATATTAGAATAAATTTTTATTTTTTTTAATTTAATTTTTTCCGAATAATGTTATTAGTTTTGTCTAATTTAATCTTACTAAGGTGCCCTAGTTCACTTATTACTAGTTCATTTATATATACATATACATACATAGTCTCATGCAAGAGTTTAAAATTAGTTAAGAATATATAAAATCCATATTTGCGTAATATAATTCAAAGCGGCGTCCGTTATTGACCAACATTTTAGCGAACAAAGTACTACGCAAGCACTAAGATGGTTTAACCACAGAGTTATCCAGCCACAGTTATATAGGAACCACCTTAAGTATTTTTACAAATAAAACAAATTTATTTTGTGTGAATCGTATAGAGTGGGCATTAAGATCGCAGTAGCTTTTAATTTTTGTAATAAATTACAAAAAGTTAAGTTTAAAAAAAAATAGTTTTAAGTTGTTACTTAAAGTTGTTTGTAATACTTTTTTTGTAAAAAATATTTCAATTCATTTTGAATTTGAAATTCTTAAATAAATTGACAATTCCACTTTGTTGTAAATGTATTCTACACCGTAAATGGAGTAATAAATATTCATTAGAAAACACCCCGAGAAGGTATGCTGCTCATTAAACTTTTAAATATTATCCTGTTAAAATTGTTAGAGCAAAAATAAAATGTCCCTAACTGAGTTCTAGTCCCGTTACTTTAATTTCTTTTTTTTTTTCTGCTTTATTATTACAATATAATGAAGAAAAACAGGGAAACTCTTTAAAAATAAATAACAATTAAGTCAGATTCAAAATAAGTATACACAAGGACAAGTCGATTGTTATAAATTTAAATGGAATTAAAATGCTATAAAAATAATAAAGCTTATGCAAAAATACAGATAAAGACTAGAGCCAATTATACTAATATAAATTTAACTACAATTTATTATAGAAATTTAATACTAGTCAAGATAATTCGAAATTTTTATTCATACCAAATTAGTCTACACTGCATCATGCGTTATGGTGGCGTTCATTTTCTTTTTCATAATAAAAAATGAATATATAACAAAGAGACGAATGAGTCTCTTCGTTCATCGCAATCGTCATTAGCGAACATGCATACTTCATTCGTACATTTATCTTTTAAAAAATACTCTTTGAACCGCTATTATTCAGGCTAAAAGTAAGAAATAAAATAAACTAAAACTTTCAAAAAATTTGGGAAACAAGATTTAAAAACAAGGGGAAAAGGAGTATCTCGATCCTGTGAAAAATGTTGTCGAACAAGCATTTGAATGAAAACATACATGTAAATTAGCATCGGTTGTTAATCTGTTGTGTTTTGTTTTACTTTTTTTAAATGTATCTATCAGGTGGGTCGGAAAAGACTTTCAAATATCGGTGGCAGTATTAAAGAAAAGAGGTGTCTTTTCAAAAAATTTGTTCAAGAGCGTTTTTTAATTGAACTTTTTAAAGTTGTGCTTAATTGGAACCAAGAATAAAAATTATTTAATAAATAACAGCTTACAGATTCACTTCGACTTGACGAACGATCTTGATGATTCTCTACAGTTCTACCTAAACTCACATATTTAATATTTATGTTATATAATATATTTAACATTCAATATATAAATAAAATTGTAAAATATATAAAACAATATGAGGTTTTATTGAAATACTATGTGCTATAAAACTGTTTTAGTACAAAAAAATATTTGAAATACAGAAATTTAAAAACCTCTAGGCGAAACAGAGCGTCTCTGTCGTCGTTCGCGTTCTCTAAATCACACAGTTACATATTTACAACATAGTTAGTAATTCAAATAAAATAAAAAGATAATTTTTTTTTTTAAATTAAACAACAAGTAAAATGAAGCATCATAAATAAAATTTTAAGGAACTTAATTTCTTCATTTCTATTAATTAGGTAATAAAACATACTTTAACTTCATCATTCGACTCATTTGAAATATTTCCATTTCTCGTTCCTATGAGAAATAACATTTGAAAATATTAGAATACAAGTTTACAAAAATGATATTAAAAATAATTTATATATAAATAGCCGTTTTTCAAAATGTTTAGTTATTCTGAAAAGTTTACATAAATAATCAAAATAACTGTACCGAAAGTAAGCAAGTTGGTTTATGATTTTCAGTATGATAAAACGTGATAAAGATGTTTCTACTACTTTTTTATTTTTCAGCAATAAATTTAATCCAAAGTGAAGAGGATCAAATAAAAACTTTTTTAAAACTGAAAAAAATATTACTAAAACCTCCATCAGAGGCATGGTCATATACCAAATATAAAACATTAAAAGATCTATATCTAAGTGAAGAGTTAATAAATAAAGGTATTGAAAACGAAGGTATATTATCAAAACAAGCGATAGAAAGTCAACTTGAAAAAGCAGCAAAAGGTATTAACGTTATGTTGTACGTGATAGGAGAATCAGTAAGCGTGGGAAGTGAACTTGGCGAAGAAAACCAAAAATATGTATTTCATAATGCTTTGGCAAATTGGTGGAATAATACAATCGGTGTTACGACAGGTATTTTCAATCTTTTAAATTATTTTCAAAACGAAAAGATAGATTTCACCAGCAATGATAATTAACAAGAAAAAAAGTGATGTAGATTGTAGATATGTAGAAAAAACAAAAATTAACTTTTTATGTGCTCGGCGCATTTCTAGTGATGAAACTAAATAAAGTCAATAAATTTACGTTTAACCAACTTAATTGGATTCGGCCATAAAACGATTGACCAAAATTTAAAAGAAATAAAAACAAAAGGATTACACAATCGGTAACCTAAAAAACATACGGAATATTATTACATAGTCAACTCCTGTAGCAAATAATATTTTACAAAATTACATAAACTAAAGAAATTTTTCGTTTTAAACAGGCAGTCAAATGGTGCGCCGAGTAATTGCTGTAGGCGGAGTCTCATCAATGTATTTCGAAAAGTGTTTACAAGAATACGTTACAAGCAACGACACATTTGATATGATACTGTGGGAATTCAATATTAATGACGGAGCTTTGAAAAAAGAAATTTTGGAAAAAACATTACAAAAATTAATATTCAAACTATATCGAATGCACAATCGTGTAGACCTCATCTTTATAGTATTTTACGATCGATCACTTTTTGAAAAAAATATCACTACAAAGCACAAAATATCAGAAACAGTGATTTTAGACATGGCAATTAAGTATAGTCTAACCAGCTTAAACATTGAGCAATATGCAGAAAAATCACAGGATGTAGGTGAAAAAGAACTTATAACAGGGAAACATCCTTCGATATTGGCACATGCTCAGATGAGTCTTTTGATAATTAAATATTACACAATAGTTATGTTGAATGCTATAGAAAAAATAATAACTCAACAGGGTTCATTTAGCACAAACATAAAAATGAATGCTAAGGATTTAATGAACGATTTCGAGAACAACTCAATATGCTGGACAGGTGTCAACCCAGATTTCAACTCAGTAAAATTAAAACATTCTTTATTCGATCTTCCTGCTAAAATGACTAAAGGTTTTACGAAAGTTACTAAAGCATGGAACAACATTCCCGAAAAGAGAGTAGACTACACAGGAGGTTATGTATCTAAAGTTAAAAACGAAACATTAGAAATTAGGTTTAACATTGAAAACAAAAGCGAATTTCGCGATACCAAACTTTACATAGCTTATAGATTTGATTTTGCTAACTGCAGTTCCTTGGTTAAAGTTTCAAATGAAAATGTAACAAAAACATTGAAAATACAGAGTGGTGAAATACCACTTGGCCTCACAGTAAAATATGTTGGCTTGTTTCCGATTGGCAAATATACTTTACAAGTACAAACAGAAAAAGGAGGAATCAACATTTGCTCAATAATTATCACATAATAACTTACCTCAATAAGCATTTCCTTTTGCGCCTGTTTTTTTAATTCAACTTTCTTATCATTTTTTACTGAAAATCAATAAAAATCAAATATTAAAAGATTTTATATGTGTATAGTATAGCTTTATTATTACAAATTAAACAATGAAAAAATAATTTAAAAAATCATACTTTGCTTGCTTAAGAGTTTTTGCATACGAAGTTTCATTTTTTCCCTTGGTGTCAACTTGCTCTAAATATAGAAATACACTATGCTTTTTTTTTTTCTTTTTTTTTTTTGTAGTAAAACATATTTCAATTTTGTAAATGTTTTGTAGTAAATGTTTTGTTGTAAATGTATTACTAAAGTTTTGTTCAGTCTTAGTTATACAATAACAAAAGCTTTAATATGTGTATACGTTTATATTTCCTTAAACGTTGAAATAAAATATCGAGTTTTTTCCTATGAACTTTTATTGGATAATTTAATTTTCTGTTTTAAAACTTTTTGGGAAGTTCGATCTGAAAATGTATTTATTTAGATTTAGAAAAATAGCTTAAAACGCAAATAATTTAAACTAATTTTAGAATATTTTGATAAAACAACTTTTGCCGTTCATCATCATCATCATCATCATCATCATCATCATCATCATCATCATAATCATCATCATAATCATCATCATCATCATCATCATCATCATCATCATTATCATCATTATCCTAGTTTTAGTTTCCCAGTTTTATTTATTTAGTCTTCCCAATTTATGTTGTTTCTCTATTATAAACAATCTGAAGCATCTTCTTTCCTTGTTCATACCATACATAACTTACTCTCTCCATGTTTTCATACTTCTATCTCTCTACATGCTGATACCCTAATCTTCTGCATCCTCATCCATTTGCATCCTCTACATGCTTATACCCTAATCTTCTGCATCCTCATTGCTCAACATACCTAAACCATCTTAATCTTTTCTGGTTAAACTTGTTTGATACACTCACTATCTCTGTCTAAGGTCTTCTTTTCTTGTCTTGTTTGAGTAACACCACACAACCATATGATTAACATCTCTCTTGACAAATGCTAAACCATATAAATAGAGGAGAGTTTCCAAACAGCGCTTCATTTGGAGAAATTGCATTTGTTTGGAAATAAAATGTCTTATAGTTTTATTTTTCATTTTTCTAGTAAAATGTTTTACTTTCTATGTTTTAAGACATTTTGAAAGTTATCCCTCATAAAATCCATGTACACCATCAATTTATAGCTTTTTTGCATAAATTTTTTAGGTAATCTAATTTGTTTTTCACACTATATTCAGGTAAACTATACTTTGCGGGTGATTTTTTGAGTTTAAAATGCAAGCAATAACATAAACTTATCTTATCAATCCCAGCAAGCATAATACTGCAGTGATATAACAAAATAGTCCAAAATGAACGGAACTACTTGATTTTTGTTGATTTTACTGGTATTTTTTAAAATAAAGTAAGATGTTCCATTTAGGAATCAAAGTGTTTCCTGGCAATGGATCGAGGTATTTCAATTTAGGAAACCTGTTGCTTTGACTAAACCAAATTTATTTCCAATAACAGTGCAATCAATTCAGTCAAATTATGGTAAAAAACTTCCTTAGGTGTTCCAATTTTGATAATTCTCCACTTCTAAAGTTTGCATAATTATGTAGGAATATTGTATGCCAGCATATAAACAGCAAATATATATATATATATATATATATATATATATATATATATATATATATATATATATATCCATATGATATTATAATAAATATACAGTGAAGAAAGCTGCAAGCAACCATTAAAAAGGCTGCCATTGTGTTAGAAGTTAACATAAAATATAAAAAAGAGTAAGAATCAATAAACCTAAAAAACTGATAAAATAACCTAAAAAAATGTAAATTGTATGTGTCAGGAAAACATAAAAAAATATTTGAAACATAAACATGAGAGAATTTTAAATTATCAAAGCTTGCTGAAAAAAACTTGATGAATAAAACTATTTTGAGCATGTTGGTACAATTACAGTAATATTACATTACTTTTTGTGTTTTTAGGCACATTGTAAATGTTTACTGGAAATTAAGAGTGCTGTCCATCAAGGACAACTATAGTACTGCAATTAGAAAACAATGATTTAATAATTTTTAAATTTTTTTTGAAATACAACAAATAAAGCGAGGTTATGGAGAAGACTTTATCATAAGCCTATAATATATCAAATATCAGTTGCCTTAATGCTTCCACCTAATACTCAATACAACCTTTCTGCTATAAGAGTATGTAATTATGTCGATATTATATGCCAGTATTTAATAAGTAGTAAATATATGCTAGCTCTGGCTATCATCAACTGTTAAATCTTATTATTATGGGTTAGTAAAAAAGTCTCATATTTAGAAAACAGTTTATAACCAAAATTTGTATCAATTCTCATAGAGTTATTAGACACTTCTCATAGAGTCATTAGACACTTGTCATAGAGTTATTAGACACTTGTCAAAGAGTTATTAGACACTTGTCATAGCGTTATTAGACACTTGTCAAAGAGTTATTAGACAATTGCCATAGAAAACAGTTTATAACCAAAATTTGTATCAATTGTCATAGAGTTATTAGACACTCAAGAAATTGCTTGTTAAATAAAGATTGAAAAACTTAGCTAGTTTGGGTAGGCAGAGGGGTCAGAGTGTTTCAAATATCAACCGTGTTTTGAAAAAAGGGTCTCTGAGACTGTTGCCTTGACCTTGAACTCAATAGCCTATACTCTCGTCCTTAATAAAAAAGTAGGAAAAAAAAAAAGAGGGGGGGGGGGGGAAGGGATTATTAATTTTTGGAAAATTCCCCCCCCCCCCCCATAATAATTTTTGGAAAATTCCCCCCTCCCTCCCCCCCCATTTATTAATTTTTACTTGTCATTAACAAAAGCTTTATTTTTATCTTAAAACTAAAAAAAACAGAAAATCAGTAAAAATCGGCCTTAAAAATTAGAAAATAATTCTTTCAGTCACTGATACAAACTAAATCTTGTGTGAACAGGCTTTAAAAATCGCCAGCCTAGTAAATTTGATTTGTGGAAAATTACCTTTTGGTTTATTTCTCACCATAGTCTAACACCTATATCAGCATATTATATCCTATTGAAATTATGACAAAACAATTGTTAGAAAATGAAAAAAATTACATAAAACTGTAATTGTAAACAAATAACCAATTAATAAATGGAAAATGTTTATCAAAATTGTAGTATATAAATGTGATGTTTCTTCTAAGAATGTACCTTTTGTACCTAATAAACAATATATTAGTTTAACAAAGGGTAAATGGGAAAAACGTTTTGCTATAAATAAATTATTAAAAATATAAAGTATTAATAAGACACCATACAGACAAACTACATATGGAAATTAAAAGATAAAAAAATTTATTTTTTATTTAATTAAAAAACAAAAAAAATTTATCTTTCAATTTCCATTTATTTTGACTAAATTTTATATTGAATTGGTCCATCTTTAAAACAGCATCTGCATAAAATAATATTTCCAAAAAATTACATATTATGTCTGCAAGAAAAATTTGAAATAATTACACATGTGAACCAAGAATGTTTATTAAATAAAAAATCAAAATTGATTTCTAAATGCATGCATGAAAATAAAAATAAAAATCCTTCTTTAAAAATATATTAAAAAAAAAAAAAAATTCCCTCATCAAATTGTTTTCATTTTACAGTGTTTCATCAATAAATACTTAACAGAAATGAATGATCAAATTAATAAACCTCAATTTATTTTAATAAAAATTAAACTACAAGAAGTCATAAATGTCTTAAATACTGCGTGTATATGTATATATATGTATATATACAAATAGTATTGCATACTAAGGTAAGCAATCTGACATCATACTGAAATAGCCTGCTGCTGGGGGCTTCAGTACATACATCGACTGACAAATAGCCTGACTTGCAGTGGAATGCTGCTACATCGACTGAGGGTTTGGGATGGGGCAGCAATCATTTCATTCATCATTCTTCGTTTTTTTTTTCATTCATAATTTTTGGTTTCTTCTTTTTTTAAAAAAGCCGTATGGGTTAAGTTGTTTAACTTAACCCATACGGCTTTTTTAATGTTTATAAAAACCCAGATGCTGTTTTAATGTTTATAAAAATACGCTTTAGTACGTGTATATATATATATATATATATATATATATATATATATATATATATATATATATATGTATATGTATGTATATGTATGTATATGCATGTATATGTATGTATGTATGTATGTATGTATGTATATATATATATATATATATATATATATATAATATATATATATATATATATATATATATATATATATATATATATATATATATATATATATATATATATATATATATATATATATATATATATATATATATATATATATATATATATATATATATATATATATATATATGGGCAATTCCACGAGAGTGGCGGTCGCAACATTTGACACTCTTTAAGCTATTAAAAATGAACCGAATATGGAAATGACTTGAATTTTCCAGAAATGTGAAACACTATCATATAATTTATTATTATATTTGCAAAAAGTATGCAAAAAGTTACAGCATTAAAGTCTTGAACTTTTTTCAAAAATTAACTCTGAGTAGTTTTTTGTCGTGATGGTTGTAACTGTGATGGTCATAACGAAAAATCCAATATTAAAAATAACAAATCAAACGACACAATCAATGAAGTAAGAAAAAAATGATTAATAAAAGTTATGTAAATTATGTTTAAAAAATGTAATATAACATTATCAAAGTACTAAATTATAGCTTTACGATACAAAAAAATAATAAAAAAGATAAAAAAAAATGTAAACTACCTTATCAATATTAGTTTTAGCTTGAGATACCCTATGAAGAAAAAAAATAACACATTTATGCAACTCAAGTGCGAAACCTGATATTAACTTTAAATTACAATAATTTATTAACTCACATTGGTTGTTTAGGAACTAAACCACAAATTCTTTGAGGCGATATGGAGTGTGAAGTTTCCAAATGTTTTGGAGAAATTTTTCTTAGACCCCGGTCAATAATATTGTCTCTTCTTAATGGTGATTTGCTCTTTGACTTTGTTCTTCGAAGACGATCATCATATTTTCGCTCATTACTCCTTGATCTACTTCGCTTTTGATTTGAACGCTTTGAATAACTTCGTGAACGACTGCGACTTCGAGATTTATGACTTGATTGACGACTTTTATTGCTATAACGTTCATTAGATTTTGAGCGGTGACGTCCTTGAGATCTTGATTGATATTTTTCATGAGATGGAGATCGATATCTGTTTCGAGATCTTGACCTGCGCCTATCACGTGATCTTGAACTACGCCTATCACGTGATCTTGATTTTTTTTTATCATATGATCTAGATCTATGTCTATCTCTATCTTCAATGTTGTTATGTTTCTGTTTGTTAATTTTGGAATTACATTCTTGTTCATTTTCCTTTCTAAATAAAACAGATATAATAATAATTATAAAATTTATTTTAAATGAGTTACATCATATTTACAACTATCTATCTCGTAAATATTTTAACAAAATTCAATAATAAACTAATAATAATAATAACAGTAATAATCATTTAACCAGCTGCCTAAACAACATCAGTCTAAACAACATCACCCTAGGCAAAATTGCCGACCACTGTTATTTTATCATTATTCACTTGATTAATTGCATTTACTTATGCTGCATTTTTAATCTTACCACATCCCCTTATGCTACATTTTTTATCTTAGCGACTAAGATAACTTAATAATTAGGAAGAAAAAAAAAGTAAAAGGATGTCTTTTTACTTTTTTTTTTCTTCCTAATTACTATGTTTTACTAAGCATTTTTATTTATTTTTTTCTCAATAACTAAGTTCCTGACTTTTTATTTAACCTTAAAAAGTTAATTCAAATGAACGTTTCAAAAATTCCCTCATATTTGCCCGATTTATAGCATTTTTATAAATATTTGCCCTGTTACTACAGTATAGTCATTCGAAAAATGAAAATTGGTTCATAATTACCAATTCACTTAATTTAGCGGGTATTGAATTGAAGCAAAAAATTATTACCAGAATATTATAATCTAATACACTTTATTTACAAAAGAAATACAAAAATGTTATTAAACATAAATAATAAAAACATGAATAATATTTTAATATTAAACAAAATTATTCAGTTGATCGCATCCTAACAAATAGAAAAACATGTTTCCAACACTCTAAGACTATCTGTATGAGTGCTAGTGACCATCACGATCTTATTTTTACAATGCTCAGGGCTACTTTCTGCAAGTTACCTCCAAAAAAATTAATTTACAGGTCTTTTAAAAAATTTTCAAGTGTTATATTTTCTGAAAAAATAAAAAATGAGTTGAGATTTTGTAATGACATTAATGAGTTTAACGCTATCTTTAACAACAATTTAAATCTATATGCTCCATTGAAAACTAAAATCTTAAGAAGTAACGATAAGCCATTTATGACTAAGAATTTTAGAAAAGCAATTATGCTTCGCTCAAAATTAAAAAAAAAATTCCAGATCGAAAAATCAGATATTTCTTTGTCTCTTTATAGGAAGAAAAAAGAAACTACGTAGTGAACTTGAATAAAAAAGCAAAGAAAATATATTTTCATGAGATAAATTTATTCAAGTCATCCACTACATCTCTATGGAAGATATGCAAGCCTTTTCTTTCTAATAAATCTGGTAATTCGAGCGATCGCATATAGTTGATTGAACATGAGGACACTATTTCAAACAACTTTAAAATTTCAAACATTTTCAACTTATATTTCACTAACGTTGTGTCGTCTCCTATAAATAGTGAGATGAGTTATCGTCCTTCTCCTTGCAATGTACATGTGTCTGTTGAATCTGCTATTATAAGATATGCAAACCATCCCAGTATTATAAACATTAAAAACAAATCCAAATTATATCCTCAAAATTTTAAATTTCATCAAATTACTCCTGATGATATAACAAAAATTATTTGTTCTTTAAATAGTAAAAAGAAGACTAGTGGAGATATTCCAACATTTATGTTAAAAACTTATGTCACGGATTTGAGAGAAAGCCTCACTTCTTGTATAAATAATTGCATATCCCAAGGCGATTTCCCGCCCTTCTTAAAAATGGCCGATGTCATACCATGTTTTAAAATAAATGACCCAACTGATAAGTGTAACTTCCGCCCAATAAGTATTCTGCCAGTTCTTTCAAAAGTGTTTGAAATCGTTATTTATGAGCAAATACGGGTTTTTATAGAGCCAAGCTTTAATAAATTGCTGTGTGGATTTAGGAGAGGGTATAGTGCACAGCATGCACTTTTTAATTTAGTTAATAAGTGGCAAGAATGCTTGGATAAAGGAGGTATAGTTGGCGCTATGCTTATGGATTTATCAAAGGCATACGATTTAACTGCACATGATTTGCTTATAGCTAAGTTGGAAGGTTATGGGTTTTCTTACGATAGTTTCAAACTCTTATTATCTTACCTTACTGCTCGCAAACAGAGAGTAAGACTAAGATTGTCATTTTCTGAATATTTAGATATGGAATCTGGCGTACCTCAAGGCTCAATTTTGGGACCAATTTTCTTTAATATTTTTATCAACGATTTTTTCTTATTTATAACAGACTCTGAAATCTGCAACTATGCTGATGACAACACTCTTTCTGTTTGTGACAAAAACCTAGAGAGTGTTATTGCTCGTCTTCAAATAGAAACATCAAACGCGATTTCATGGTTTACTTTAAATAAAACGGTTGCAAATCCGGACAAATTTCAATTTTTTTTAGCTAAAATTGTAAAGATTAATTTTTAATGGTTGGAAATGTAAAAATTGTGGTTTCTTCTAAGGTTAAACTTCTCGGGGTTACAATTGATAAGAATTTGAAATTTGATGATCATATTAAAAGTCTGTGGAAAAGCGAATGGTAAATGCTTCGCTCTTGCACGAATAAAGAGCTTCTTATCAGTAAAACAAGCTACTGTTTTATTCAATGCTTTTATACTGTCAAATTTTTTCTATTGTCCTTTGATTTGGATGTTTTGTTCGAAGTATAATAATAACCTAATTAATGAAATTCATCAAAAAGGACTTCGCATTGTCTAGAAAAGATTTGATCTCCCATTAGAAGAAATTCAAAAAATAGAAAACATCCCAAGTATTCACCTTAGAAATTTAAGGTTTTTGTTAACTGAAGTTTTTGAATCTATAAATGGTTTAAATCCAGATTTTATGTTAGATCTTTTTATCAAAAAATTCCTGCCGTTAAGTCTTCGATGTAGTAAAAAATTAGTACTCCCACCCATAGTCTCTAAACATAAGTTCATAAAAAGTACCTTATATAGAGCAACCTCACTATGGAACTCCCTAGACAATGAAACTATGTCAATAAATTGTCTAAAGATGTTCAAAAAAAGTATTTTAAAATGGAACAGAAAATCTTGTTTTTGTAAAATCTGTCAAAAATACCTTTTTTTATTTTTTATTTTTACGTCGAAAATAACCAACTTGTTGTATTTATTGACATTTATATTATTTACTATGTAAGCTATTTTTATTTTATTTTATTTATTTTTTATTCACGATATGTTTGTTTGTATTGTCTTATACAGTTTAGTGTGTTGATTTTAATTAGTTTTTGTTGATTATAAAACTATTGTAAACAATCAACTGAAAATAAAGTTTTAAATAAATAAATAAATAATTTTCAAATACCATTTTTCAAACCATTTTTAGTTGGTGAAGAGTATAAATGAGTGAGGAGAAATCAGATCAAGCAAATAATTTTTTTCAAAATAACCAGTAATACAGCTAACATAAACTTGTTGAATTTAGGTTAGGACTATATTTGTTAGTTAGGAATATTAGGTTTGTAAGAAAAAAGATGGCTGGCTATTGTAGGTTTTTCATCAATGATAAACTTGGCAGAAAACAAATAGAACACTGGTGTAGATCACAAGAACACTAGTGTAATAACAACTATGTCTTTTCAGTACAATAAACTTAAGCTTCAGTAGAGTATCTATGATCCTATAGTTAAGCAGCTTCTTAAACAAGTACAGATTATTAATGACAGCATCACAGTCAATAGAAGCTGAGAGGAAGTGAGTAATATAAATAATACAGAGGAATCTGTAAGCTCATCCAGCTCTCCTCATCCAGTTCCAACTATTTGCTAAGTGCTTAAGATTTTATGCTATAATTAAGGTGGTCGAAAACTTGCATGGAAAAAAAAGTGCTTGATTTCTTGCTCTTCAACCTTGCCTTTGTTCAAATACCTAATTGTAACGTAAATACCAAATTTTAAATTCATAAAACCCCTCTAAAAGAAGGGTTTTCAAAAGAAGACATATTTTGTATCTCTTGATACAAGAACATCTTCTTGGTCTTTCTTTGATCCACATATTGATGATGATTTCAAGAAGGCAATACCTAATATTATGAACTGGCTGTGTTTGACCTTAATACTACATTACATGAGCATTTTACAGAACTATTTGATCTATCCTAATTAATAAAGAGCTAAGAATGTAGAAATAAAATAAAGTCTTTTGTTAATCATGATCCATCAGAGTGAAAACTGATCCGGTTTTCTTAGTAAGAAAGCAAAAAAAAAAAAAAAGAAGCAAAGAAGCAAGAAAAAGTTCCTCAAATAAAAATGACTGCGCAGAAAAAGGCATACGATTGATCACCACATACAACCAAAAACAAGAAACAATAGTTTTTACTTCACCTTGTAGATTTTTATAGAATAGAGTTACTGGTTAGCTCCAGGTTTCCCCTACACTATTTTTGAAAGAGGGGCTTCTCCAAAAGTACCAATCTACACCCTTTGTTTATTTGTTACTCTATACTTATTTCTCTTATTTTTTCTCATAAGTAATTTTCTGTAGAAATCAAGAATTTCTTTACTTGCATCAAAAGAATTGTGATTTCTGAAGTTCCATCAGTAGTGAAGCTTCTTCAAAAAAAATTGAATTATAAATGTTATGTTATATTCAAGTTTTCCCTTTTGCAGTTAATCTTCAACAGCAATAACATTAAACAAAGTATAAAAACACTAATCTTTGTTTAATTACATTTTTTATTTTGTCAAAAACCTACAATTGAACTAAAATGGTTAATGTAGGATAAAAGTTTTTTTTTAAAGGGAAAAAACTCAATCTAACTGACAAGGGAAACCCAATTTAACAAAATCGTTAAAAAAACTCTGTGCTAAGAGTATAAATTTATTATTTAAACTAGAAATTTTATAATGAAAAAAAAAAATGCAGATTCATATTAAGATTGACCTCTCAACCAGAAGAATAATGGCAAAACAACAAATGCTTTTGTTATTATCTAAATAAATAATTTGTTTTGGTAAATTTTATAACTATAAAGTAATTTTTATAAAAATAAACATAACATGTCTTGACACATGGAATCCCTTAGCAATTTTAACACATGGGAATCCCTTAGTAATTTTAACACATGGAAATCCCTTAGAAATTTTTACACATAGAAATCCCTTAGTAATTTTAACACATGGGAATCCCTTAGTAATTTTAACACATGGGAATCCCTTAGCAATTTTAACACATGGGAATCCCTTAGTAATTATAACACATGGAAATTCCTTAGAAATTTTAACATATAGAAATCCCTTAGTAATTTTAACACATGGGAATCCCTTAGTAATTTTAACACATGGGAATCCCTTAGTAATTTTAACACATGGGAATCCCTTAGTAATTTTAACACATGGGAATCCCTTAGCAATTTTAACAGACGGGAATCCCTTAGTAATTTTAACACATGGGAATCCCTTAGTATTTTTATAAAAAATAAAACTACCTGGTTTCTTTATTTGTGTTTGTTGTGGCACCTCCAAATTCTGTAATATATTCAATTTTTTCTTCTGTATGTGGAGATGGCGATCGTGATGATGAAGAACGATCACAAGCGTCTCTAAAAAATCATAAGAGTGATAAATAATGCTACAATACCAAATTGTATAAATAAATATTTACATGGCCGGGGCAAAAAGAAGACAAAATTAGTCTTATCACTAAGCCCTGTAGTTTACATCATTATAAGCAGTTGTTTTATAAGATAAATATTTTATAAAACCGTTACAAATTAATTAAAATATTTTTTATTTAACTAACAAAAGCCAAAAAACAAAAAAAAAAAAATAATAAAAAAATGACACAATTTAATAAAAGACAATAAAAACCTCAAGGTGTACAAAAAACAAAACAAAACAAAATTAAATATAAGAGCTGATTTGAAATATAGTTATAAAAAGAACTATTTGTTAAAGTAATTGTATTGATTGTTAATCAATAATTAATTATTGAGTTATTTTTTACATTGTTTAAGAGAATAATAACAAGAACAGAAAAAAGCAAACCAGGTGGGTTGTTCGCAAAAGCAAACCAGGTGGGTTGTTCGCAAAAAGGAAATTAAAAAGATAAATAAAACGATAAAAAATAGAAAATAATAAAAAAGAAGATAAAAATAAAGATAAAAAAATAAAAATAAAAATAACTTAATTCGTTGTCAATAGTAAGAAGTTTTTAAGTTTTATTTTAAATTTGTGAAAAGCAGTAGTTTTGATGTCATTATTAAAATTAGAATTCCTTAATTTAGGCCTCCATTTGCAATAGAGAATTTGGTAGCCGTATAATAGGTTTTGGGTTGAATATAGCTTTAATTTGAAAATCTAGTATAGTAAGCATGATTTATTTTGTTAAAAAAGTTATTAAATATTAGAGGTGTCATTTTATTATCAATTTTGTACATAAAAGTATCTGATAAATGTTAAATTGATAAACATTGAGTATATTTAGTTTTTAAAGTTTATTTATTTTTTGATGTTTGGTTTTTTATTATACTTATGTATTCACGCCATGAAAGATTTTCGTCTAGAAATACTCCTAAGAATGTGTGCTCTTTTTTTATATTAGAATTATCAATACTGAAGTTTTAATGGAATAATTTTTTTTTCATGGAGTCTATGAGAAAGAGTGTATTTGGTTGTACTTATATTTAAGGATAGTTTGTGAGTTCCTTATTGACTGTTTTAAATAATATTATTGAATAATTTAATAAAACTTATTTTAAAATATTTAATTAATATAAAATATTTAATTAAAGAATATTATAATAAAAATATTAAAATCATATAATAATATTTGAACTGTACCATTATATATAGAAAATGTAATTATGCTTAAATAAATATAAAAAAAAACAACTATTGCTGACAATTTTCTGATGTATTTATGATAAAAAAAAACAACCATTGCTGGCAATTTTCTGATGTATTTATAATACAAAAAAACAACCATTGCTGACAATTTTCTGATGTATTTATAATAAAAATCATTACAGCATAACTAAGAAACTTTTATATATTTATTTATTATATATAACTATGAAACTTTTATATATAAATGTAACTAAGAAAACTGAAACATAATTATCATAATCTTTTTTTTTTTCTATGAACTTTTTTATGTAAATATACATACATTTAAAAAAAGTGTGTGTGTATATATATATATATATATATATATATATATATATATATATATATATATATATATATATATATATATATATATATATATATATATATATATATATATATATATATATATATATATATATATATATATATATATTTAATTATTCACCTCCCCAAGGCCCGAGGGGCCACTACAGCTGGGAAGGCTACTCATTTTTTGTTGTAAATCGTGGTACAACCCTTTCTCAACTCTTTGACTCCGAAACATGAACCTTGACGAGCAAGACCGCTGCGCGGAGAAATTAAGTTATACATATATATACAAATAGTATTGCGTACTAAGGTAAGCAATCTGACGTCATACTGAAATAGCCTGCTGCTGGGGGCTTCAGTACATACATCGACTAACAAATAGCCTGACTCACAGTGGAGTGCTGCTACATCGACTGAGGGTTTGGGATGGGGAAGTAATCGTTTTATTCATCATTCTTCGTTTTTTCTTCTTCTTCAAAAATAACGATATAGCTTAATGTAAGCAGAAAAAGTGAGCAAATGCTTATCAAAACACGCTTTAGTAAGTGTATATATATATATATATATATATATATATATATATATATATATATATATATATATATATATATATATATATATATATATATATATATATATATATATGCATGTACGTATGCTTTTAAGTAGAATTATTTAAAGACAAACCCATCAGGATCATTTTCGATTTCTTTTTCTTGAAGTGCAAAACTAAAGTTAACAAAATAATAAGTTACAAAAGCTGTCAATAAAACAGTATATATTTATACTTACAAAAATAATGTTTTTAAAAGTAAAAATACCTTAATGGCGAGCCTCTCATTGTCTTTTGTTTCATACGAAGGCTTCTACGTGCAGATTTTCCTTTTCTTCCCTATAATTTATTTAAATTTATTAAAAAACCTTTTAAAAAAATAAAAGTTCACTTAAGTAAATTTTATTTTATTAAAACATGTTTGTTATAAAAACAACATGTTTTTATCCAGAAAAACCTAATTGTAAATAATAATTCAATTAAAAAATTTTCTAAGATAACTAATATGGAAATGTTTAATAACAATAATTTTTTTAAAAGTGACAACAAAAAAGCAACAAGTACATGATGAAATTTTACAGGCTTAGGTGGAATAAATTCAATTGTAAAAAGTGTTAGATTTTCTAATAGTACTGTTATTAGAACATTTGAGAATTTAATATTTAATACAATAAATAGAAATACTGAAAGTGGCCGAGGAAAACTTTGAAAAAAGTTAATGCTAATCTAAACAATTCTGAGCAAGGTTTGTTTCTATTATGCAAAACTACCAGACAAAAGACAAGAAATATTAAAAAAAATTCATAAAATCAAGTCCATTAAGATGTAAAGTTCCAGATCACAATACCAAAGAAGATTTTGTGGCAAATGGTTGTGCAGGAAAATTATGCAAACTATTGAGTTAAAAAAACAACATGGATAATTACAGATGACCCAACCTATGTGAAATTAAATCTCAAAACAATACAAGATACAAGCACTATTTTTATATGGGAGTCAATGTGTCAATGTGGTCTGAAATCACAATATTTTAACACTTTTTCTTTAATAAATAGTGAAATTCATCAAAATAAATAAATAGTGATCAAAAGGAGAAATAGATAAAATTCATCAAATGCTTTAACAGTACTTTTAGCCTGACCTAATATTTTGTGATTATTTCAAATCCACAGCAAACTTTTACAACAGCAAACATTTACAACAGCAATTTTATTAATGCCAATTGAGAATTATTGGGGAATTATTAAAGACAAATTATGTAAGAAGTTTAGGGAAGCAAAATCAAACAATGACTTTATAAAAAATTCAAAAAATTTCATCAGTTTTTTTAATTATTTTTTGTTTTCGACTTTTTAGTTCGCTATGGTGATATTCGCTATGATAATTTTAATCAAACTTTATAATTTAAAAGTTTCATACTGGCATCTTTGAACGTTGCTCTTCTTCCTCCTCAAGCTTTTTTACATATTCAAATTCTTTTTTTTCAAACAAAAGTTGTCTAAAAACAAAAAGCCATTCAAATTAAATATAGAAGAAATTTACTTTAAATTTGAAATACAAAAAGTACAAGAAACAATAAAAAAAAAATTGCAATATTACTTGCAATACTGCCCATAACCAATTCCGTATTGAGTTGCTAATGCATCCAAATGGTTTTGCTAATAAATTTAAAATCAATTAAAAATAAAAACTATAAAAACCAAAATATTAATAAAAATAATAAATGTAATGTATGTTATCTAACATTAATTTATTTAATATTAAATGTAATCTATATAATTTAAGTCGCAATATAGGCACCTAAATATAAATTAAGAATGGTTAAAAAATAGGCTAATATACATGTAGAAGGGTTTAAACCCCTTGATAGTCCTAGTATAAAGAATGTTTAACTTCTTTATAACCCTGCTTTAAAACTCATTTGTATAACTTCTTTATTACCCTGGTACATATGAATTTTCTTAATACGTTTTTACCCATTTGTTACAAAAAAATAAAAAAATTGTAAAATTGCACAACTATAAATGTCTGTTTAGATAAGCACTTCGACATCACACTAAAACAGCCTGCTGCCAGGGGCTTTATTATATACTATCTTATAGCTAGCTGCTGCAAAGGAGTGCCACTAGGGTTTGGCATGGGGTAGCAATCTTTACTTTCATCATTCTTAATTTTTTTCTTCTTTTTTTATAATGCTATACTATAAAGATAAGCAAAGCTAGTACTAAACAATCTAAACACTCTATAGTAGATATAAAAATAAATATTTTGAACAACCTGTTCTTCTTCTAATTCCAAAACGTTGACATTGATATCTAAAATATATTAGATACATATTTTACACACATATGTATATGTATGTATGTGTATATGGATATACACATAATATATATATATATATATATATATATATATATATATATATATATATATATATATATATATATATATATATATATATATATATATATATATATATATATATATATATATATATATATATATATATATATATATATATATATATAATTGGAACACTAGCTTTTAATGAAATGGTTTGTTGTATAGATCAGACATTAGACAGACATTTTTATAGAAAACTATTTACCTTTTCTACAACAACAAAATAAAAACAAAAAAAAAACAAAAAATTGTTTGTATGTATTAGTGATGTAAATTTTCCGGTAAAATTTGATTCAAAATTTAATGGTAAAATTTACCAGTAAATTTTAAATAGAAAGGAGTAAATTTCCTTAAAATTTTTTTAAAAAAGTGAAAAAAATTTCTTTTTACAAATCATTTTAAAACTTAAAACAATTGGTTCCAGGCTTTTAGCTAAAATAAAATTTTTTTACTAAATGTTTCAACTACTTTCAGTTGATCATCAAACAATTTTAAATATTTTTTTTTCATCTAAAATAAAATCTGCCAGATATTTACCAACTGTTTACTTGTCATCAGTAAGCCGTTGGAAGTTAAATTTGATATCATTGAACTTAAAATATTTTCTTGTCTAACTTTTTACGCTGATCAAGAATATTTTTTCAAAATTAAATTTACTATTTAGGAAAAAAAGTTATGAGTAAAAAACAGAAAAAAAGAATTGTGGGGATGAATGAAATATGCTTATAATAAGTGAAGCAACAGCTCACTTCTTAAATGCGTTTTTTTTTAAATTAAATCTCAAGTGACTAATAAATCTTAACTATAAATTTTTTGTAAATTTAAATGAATGACATTAACTATAAAATTTTTCTTAATAGTATACTTAGCCTTATAAATTTCTCGCAAATATCTCATATTTCATCAATAATTATTATTTACTTAATTTTATAAACTTTACTTTGATAGTTGATTAACTATCAAAGTAAAATTTATTAAATTAAGTTCACAATTCAAAGTTTGTACAGCTAGTTATGTTTTTGCTAATTTGTGTAATAGGTAGTTATATATGTGTGATAGGTAGTTATAAATGTGTGATAGGTTGTTATATATGTGTGATAGGTAGTTATATATGTGTGATAGGTAGTTATATATGTGTGATAGGTAGTTATATATGTGTGATAGGTAGTTATATATGTGTGATAGGTAGTTATATATGTGTGATAGGTAGTTATATATGTGTGATAGGTAGTTATATATGTGTGATAGGTAGTTATATATGTGTGATAGGTCATAATAATGATTGGTCATAATAATGATTGTGTTATTCTATTTTTATAAAAATTTGCAAAACCTTGCCTATTATTAAAATGATATTAATGTTGTACTGTTTTAGTAAATTATATTAGGCTAATTAGAGTATTAATACTTACCAATGTAAATTGCATTTACATTTGTAAGAATTCACCTATTTGTCAGAAAACTAGGTTTAAATCCAGCAACTATTCTTTTATGTGCTTTCGTTTAGCACCACTTCACTTTATCAATTTTCTCATTGTTCTATATCACTCTCCATTATCTCAAGACTGCACTCTTTTAAATGTTATTTCTGATCAAATTGACCGACCCCTTTCTTTTTATGCTTCAGCTAAGGTCCTTCTTGTTGGTGACTTCAATGCTCATCACATTGAATGGATTGGTTTTAGTGACTATGCAGGTGTTAAGACCCGCAACATTTGTTTTCTCAATCTCTAACACAAATAGCCTTTCCAACTCGCTTTCCAGACAATCAAAATTATTTACCTTCTCTACATGAATTATGTTTTGTTTCTGACCATAGTAAGTGCTCAGTTTCTCCAAATTTAATTAGATGTTTATAATCACAGTTTGATCTCTCTAAAAATATTATCTCATTCTACTTCATCATCAGAATTCTCTTATCATTGTACCTCTTACAACAACACTTTTAAAGCTGACTAGGACATTTCTTAGTGATGACTCTGGGGTAGAAATCTTTCAACTTCTTTTGGATTCTGGCTGGCATGAAATCTTTTATTACCTATCAACAATTTCAATTCAAGCCCCAATGGTCTTCTTCTCATTGTGCTACTGCAATTTCCAATAGTAACAATTACTTCCATATCAAACAGATGTCTGTTTACTATTGCTAGAAATCATTATAAAATGATTTCTCTGGAGCTTTTGTCTATACATTCAAAACTATTTAACAATAGCCTATCAGAGTCTTGTTTTCCAGCCTACTGGAAAGCAGCATCTATTGATCATCAATATAGATTTCAATCTTCTCATTTTACTTCTGATTTGTTAATGGTAATAACCAATAAGTTAGGGCTACCACTCTCGACATTTCTAGAGCCTTTGATAAAGTTTGGTATTCTGGTCTTCTCCATAAGTTCTCTTCTTATGGTATAGCAGGTATTATCTTGAAGATTATTGAATTCTTCCTTACCAATTTTAGTTTAAAAGTTGTCCTCAATGAATAGCACTCTTCTTCATTTTCTGTAACTTCAGGGGTTCCTCAAGGTTCTATATTCTAAGGCCCTTTACTTTTTTAATTTACATTAACAATCTCCCAGAAATTCTTGCATCTGTGGTGGCATTGTACGCTGATGACACTACCATTTGTTCTTGTCTTGATAAGAAGCCAACACTTTCTGATTGCTTGAAGGGAGCATTTGAGCTTGAAAAGTTCTTCTCCAATTGAAAAGTTCTTCTCCAATACACTTCTGCTGCAGCATGGGACTTTCAGTGAAATTTACTTTAGATAAACTAAAATTTTTTCAACCAAATGTTATTGCAATAATCTAGATCTTCCTATATTTATGAACAGTAATGTACTTAATGAGTCATCTGCCCTTCATCTTCTAAATTTAACTCTCACTTCCGATCTTTCTTGGAAACCATATATAAAATCCATTGCAAAATAAGCATCTGTTAAGGTTTCATCTCTTAATCCTGCTTAGCGCTTTCATAATCTGGATTCTATTCTTTAACTATATAAATATCTAATCCGTCCTTGTATGGAATACTGTTGCCATATCTGGAGCGGATCTTCAAATGATTCCTTTTATCTTTTAGAAAAGGTGCAAAAACCCATAATAAACATATTTGGACCTGCACTTGTAGCTAACCTTCAACCATTTTCACATTATCGTAATATTGCTTCTGTTTCTCTTTTCTATAAATACTATAATGAACGCTGCTCTAAAGTGCCCTAATAAAATTCATTCTCGTGTTACTTGTCATTCAATAAAGTTTCATTTTTTTACTGTGACTGTTCCTAAGTGCTCCAAAAATTCTTATTCATCTAGTTTTTTTCCTCCAACATCAGTTCTTTGGAATTTCCTCCCTTTTTATTGTTTTCCTGATTCCTATAATTTTCTTTTAATTTGTCTGTGAATTGTTATCTTGCTCTATAAACTTCATTTTTTCACTTCCAATAACTTCCAACTTTAATAGTGTTACTTACAGCCTTGTTGGGAGTGAAGATGTTTAAAAAAAAAAGTTTTAACTATAGCAAAAATGGTACTTATCATCTATCAGTGATGTACTTATTGTCTATAAATGATGTACTTATTGTCTATAAATGATATACTTATTGTCTATAAATGATGTACTTATTGTCTATAAATGATATACTTATTGTCTATAAACGATGTACTTATTGTCTATTAGTGATGATGTTTTTTTAAATATAAACTGCGTTACATTTTTTAACAATTTAAGTTTTCTTGTTTTAGATTTATTTTTAATTAGGCAATTCTTTTTCAGCATATTGCAAAATGAATAGAGGGCTCACATCCTATAAAGCGCAAAGGGTGTGGGTAAATATTGTAGTAAATTCTCCCCCCTACTATTATTGGGAAAGTGGCTCTTAGAAAAGGAAATATGAGGGGAGGAGGTGGTAGGAAACCTTAACAGTACATCTATAATTAGTATTTTTATCTACTAATTGTAGATGTAGTTTGTAAATATAGATTTTTCTTTTTATATTTTGTTTTGTTATTTGTATATATATATAGTAATTGTAAGTAATAAAATTTGTTTGTTTTTTTAATGTTTTGAAAAAATATTTTTTGTTCTTTTTTATAAATAAGGATTTGTATTGTTTTGTTTGTAAATAAAATTTGTTGAAAAGATATATTTTGTTCCTTTTTCTTAAAAACTAATGCTTTTTTTAATTGTCAAAAAGTCATCTAGTTTGTTCCTTTTTCCTAATAATTGATATTTTGCTAATTGTCAATAATATATTTTTATATGAGTAAATAAATATACACTTTTATCATTTTTGGTAAAATCATTTTATTATTTTGGTAAAAGCTCTGCTTGATTTAAAATCTTGAATACCCTTAATTAAAATAATTCACCTGCGGAATTAACACAAAGGGAAGGGGTTGTTATTGGAAGGGTCTAAATTTCATTATAACTATAAATTTCCGAAATCACTGGGAGAAATGTCACGCAACTGTCATTCATGTTAGAAAAATTAGGATTTATGTTTATAACATTTTTACTTAATCAATTATTAATTAATTTGCACATCTAAGATAATGAGATAATTTTCTTTCCTAAAGTAGGAAGATTTTTATTTTTATTTATTTACTTATTTAGAAATAAATAAACACGGTCAGGTTTCTATATAGCTCTAAGTGCGCAAAAAAAAGTAAAATAAAAAAATGTGCTTCTTCTCTCTGCATCTCTTATAAGAAGTTTTAAAGAAACTTTTATTGGCCCAAAATATAGATTTTTAAATAATTTTTCTACCATTTACCAAAAAACATTGAAACAAAGAGACCACATAAAGAATAAGTATAGAAGTGGTCGGAAAAATAAACTTACTATGACCTGTATTATACGGGTCCGAACAGCTAGTAAATATAAATACTTATACAGACCTTGTTAAAATGCATTACATTGTACACAATTTATGTATGAGATGTCAATTTTACATACGCATTAAGTCATTTACATTACGCCAAAACTCTTATCAATTGTATTATTTAGATTGTCTTTTGATGTAGTTTAAGTATCCCTTATTTAGAAAACAATGTCAATTAATTATTGTAAAAAACATAATTTATAATTCGATATCAGCAAAAAGTTTTTTTGACAAAAGTTTTATTAATGAAAATAAATTATGTTTACAAACACTTGAATATTTGCGAATATTTGTAACTGATGGAATTTTAGTAAAGCAACTGTAATCTAAGAACATTTAAAAATACTTATTAGATCAGAGGCTATTTTAGGAAAATAATTTGGGCGGTGGTACCTATCATGCTGGCGCCTGCCGTAAGGAAATTTGGTGAAAACATTGTCATGCATAGGCATTTTTTTGCCTAAAAACAAAACAAAAACCCTCAATTTCTGATTTGGGGCGGCACGGAAATGTTGCCGTGGTAAAAAACATATTCGTGGCTAACACCCTGATATATATGTAAATTATGTATTCTACAATAAGAGTGCTCTCTATTTGATATAATTGATTAAAAAATTATATATAATATTATATTATAAAACTATATAATTATAACAATTACAATTTTCTGTCAGAAGGAGATACAACCTGTCGAAGAAATATGAGATGTTTTTACTAATTTATATACAGTATCAGACAAAGCAAGTGCAACTAAATAATGCTAATTTAGTTTCTTTATATAAAAGTGCTGCATTTTTTCAATTTAGAGAAATAACCATGTAACTGTTTAGAGACAACGTTCTTCAAGTTTTATTCATCACAAAGTTCATTATTTGTACATAAAAATTAATAAATTAATCAAAAGTATTAAAAAAAGTTGATTTCCTTCTGGACAAAACAACTGCAACTCCACAAAATGTTGCCCAAGCTGTATTTTGCTATCAATATTTCGTGGCGAATTCTTCGTTGTTGATCATAACATTGCATCTTAGAGGCATAGATTCGATCAGGTGATCAATGAAACTTTGTGGAACCGCTGCCCCGGCCTTTTGGATTTGTTCAAACAGTTGATCCTTATTAAGAACACCTTTAGATTAATTCTGCAGTTGACGATCTCCCACAGGTTCTCGATAGGGTTGAGATATGGAGATTGAGGCAGCCAACCCATCGCTGATAGGTGGTTGTCTTGAAACTACAATTTGACTACTTTTGCAGTGTGTTTCGAATTGTTGTCTTGCTGAAAAACCCATTTTATTGGCATATTCCATTCAGCATGGGGTAACATGACATCTTTAAGGATGTTTTTATACATGAAACAGTCCATTATTCCATCGATTCAATGTATTGGATCTAGACCGTTAGCAGAAAAACACCCCCAGACCATTACATTGCCTCCACCATGCTTCTACACTGCCTCCACCATGTCGATGTACATGCAAATGCCATTGCTCCCAATGATGTTGAACTTCAACTTATCACTGAACAGGACAGTTCACCATTTCTGCACATTCCAGTCAATATGAGATGTAGCAAACAGGAGTCTTTTCTTCTGGTTCTTTAGTGAAATCAGCGGTTTCTTTGCAGGGCATCAAGAAAAAACTTCTGTGACGTTGACACGGACCAGACTTAAGAAAATGAAACAAATCAAAAAACTTGTTTTGTCCGCTGCAAAACGGCACTTGTCGACGAAATTCTGCCTGTGTGCTGTCACCTGTCAACTGATTGCTCATGTCATGGCGTGCTATGACTCCAGACTCCGGAACTGTTTGCTGTGGTAGTATAGTTCATTTCGTTTTTAAGACATGTAAAATTAGGAACATATATATATATATATATATATATATATATATATATATATATATAGAATATATATATATATATATATATATATATATATATATATATATATATATATATATATATATATATATATATATATATATTAGGGTGGTCCTTGGGATATATATCTTTATATCTGCTCTCACCCTCTAAATGTGTTCTATGTAATAAAATAATACTAAAATTTATAAAAAAAAAGATTTTTAAAAAAAACCTTTTTATTCATAAGTTGTACAGTTTTTGTTTTTTTTTTAAGTTTTTTTTTCTTCAAAAACAAGATTATCCAAAGTAAACCCCTTTTTTTCTATAAAGTTCTATTTTAGCATAAACAGATTCATTTGTGCTCATTTTTAATTAGATTTATATCTTGTAAACTTACTACTTGCATATGTGCGTACCTTGCATAAGTGTATCTTGTATACTTTTACCTTGTTAGTTTCTGTAACTAGTTTTGACTTTTACAGTTATGTAAGATTGCACATTCAATTAAAACATTATTAAATTTACTTTAAAAAAAACTCAACCTATATCACTAAGATCACTTTCACTCTCCTCACTAGTTGAATCTTCATCATTTGAGTAAACAGCACATCCTTCATATTTATAATGGATTTTTGCATTCGCTTTACTTTGAGCTCTACATAAAAAAACAATTACTAATAAAAAAGATTCCTTTATTTCATTCTTTCACTTTTAATTCGTTTTTATAAAAACCTAAAAAAAAAATAAGACATTTTCTACATAAGACCGTTTTTCTACATGAGACCATTTTTCTACATTAAAACCTACTAAATTTAGGATCTCTACCAATACAATTTTAATTGTAAGTTTCAACTAAAACAACATAAATTTATTAGAACCATACTGTTCTAATTTTCCAAACATTATATAGAAAATGTTACTTCAGATTTGCATAAATTACTTCAGATTTGCATAAATTAACCATATAGAAAATGTTACTTCAGATTTGCATAAATTACTTCAGATTTGCATAAATTAAACCATAAAGAAAATGTTACTTCAGATTTGCATAAAAAAGCATCAAAGAAACAACAAACATACTGACTTCTCTTTCTCCACATTAAGTTTTTGCTCTGCTTGCTTTTTACCATAAGCTTCTTCTATTTCCAACTGCTTGAGGTATTGTTCTTCTGATGCTAAAAAAAAACAATAAACTATTGTACAAAAAAAAAAATTGACAGATGAAACAATAACAACTTTAAAAAAACTAGTTTGTTAGTAACAAATAATTATTAAATAGAATATTATTGTAAAAAGTATTACTATAATATTATTATTAGTATTATTAATAATAATCTTACAATTAATCTCTATTAATCTTAAAAATATTATTGTAAGAAAATGCATAAAGGTCATTTTTAAGAAAACATATGCCTTTTCTGGTTTTAATAAAAGTTTCACTCAAACTTTATAGCACAAAAGGCCTAAAGAGAGACACTGAACATGTCTAAAGAGAGACACTGAACATGTCTAAAGAAAGACACTGAACATGTCTAAAGAGAGACACTGAACATTTCTAAAGAGAGACACTGAACATGTAAAAAAAAAAGAGCAGAGTTTAACTTTAAATAACTTTGTTATGCTACAAAAAAAAAGCTTAACTTTTTTCATGCAATTGCATTGAAGAAAAACTTTAAATGAAATAACAGTATAAATTAAGATTAAAATATTTACATACCACCAGTTGCATCAATCTGAACAAGTGTGCGATAGCTTTCATAATTACATTTCCATATCAACTTGTCTTCATCACTAAGAAAAAAATTTTAAAAATTAATCAATTTTAGAAATTATTAATGTACATTTATAATTTAAATATATATTTATTACACTTTAGTGAAACTAAAAAATATCAAAAAACACTCAACAAGTAGTAAAAAAGAACTCACACAAAAAATATTACGAGATGTTTTCATTTTATTTATTGTTATAAGTATTATTCCTCTGTTCCAAAATACTGTTTTGATTTGTATTCAACATAAAAAATTATTAAAAACAAACACATTATTTATATAAAATTTTTTCTTTTATAATATACTGAACATTTTATGCCACTTAATACATTTTATTGCATGCTTGTACTATAGTTATTATTTTGTTAAGAACATCTGTTCAATATATCTTTTAAATTTATTCTTCTTCTAAAGAACTTAAATTTATTTATCTTTCCTTGTACTGAATGTTTTATGTCGATAATATAGCTGTACTTTTTTTAAAAGTTTTTTTTAATGAAAAGATTTTCTTCAAATAAGGAAGAGCATTTAACTAAGAACTTTATGCCTCCTCTCATACCAATGATACAAGCCAAGTTCACATTAAACTGAAAAATAGTAAAATTGTAAAAAGATTTTGAAAATACTAAACCAGAATAAGATACTTCATGCTCAATGTTTGTAGAGATTTGTACAACCTGATAAAATTAAGTTTTCAGTTGTCGACATTTTTATAGCCTTTTTCTGCAGCATTAACAATGTATCTAACTTTCTATTTAATGTGATATTTCCCATAATGCAATTTATTTCTCAAAACAAAAATAATGTGTTAGTTTATTTGTAAATGTTTAATTTATTTTTAATAACTTTTATCTTGAATACGATTTTGCTGTTTATACAATTTTTCTTTTAAATTGTTATTTTCTAATAAATGTAAAAAATGACTAAAGTCTTTTTTATTTACTTTTTCTAGTTAAAATGGTCAACAACGACATCAAAATATTTTGAAACAAAAAAAAAAAAGACAGTATATAATAATTTATAAAAAATTGAACTTCTTTTAATTACTTGCATATACTTTATTATATCAACATTATCTAAAAAACTAACGTTTCTTCAGTACAATCAACAGGTTCAGGAATAAAATCCAAGTGTGCTCTTACATCAAACCTAAAAAAAAAAAAAAATTTTAATTAAATAAAGAACTAATGTATAACATGAAAATATAAAATAAATAAAATAAATGCAACTATATATAACATAACTAAAGTTTTAGTCTGTTTTATAACATAACGGTTTTCCAAACTGATGATTTATGTAAACTATGTCCATTAATTTCTTAATGTCTATACTGAAAATGAAATTTTATTTTTTGAACGTAATAAAAATATGTTTAAGGTACTTCAGGCCTTGTTTTAAGCGTTAAGCGTAGATCTATTTACGAACATGTTAAGAGATATTAAGCAGTAAGCAGTTTCAGTTGAGCAATTTTTTATTTATTTATTTTTATTATATTAAAGAAAAAAAAAATTGCTTTTTCAACTTCAAAAAGAGGTTGAGAAAAGAAGATTAAAAAAAAAAGCTCTACGCTTAAAACAAGGCCTGGTACTTCCAAATACACTTTAAGATTGTCCAAAAGATTGTGCAGAAAAAACTAAAGAGCCGTACAACAGTGTAATTTTGTGTGAAGCTTGTGAATCACAAAACATGGTGCATTTATGCATCGATAGAAGTTTAAATAAAAACAATCTTACAATTTAACTTACAAAAAAATAAATGTGCAGAACGATTTCCTAAGCATATAATGTGTTAATTATGTAAACATATGTAAGTGCACATTTCTTCAAAATGTTATACCAGGGTCAAATAAAAAATTTGTAAAGAAAAGGAGAGAAGAAATTAAAATATAAAAACAGAGATACTTTTGAAAATTGTCAATTAAAAATTTTATAAATGGGTAAAACTTAAAATCTAAAACGACACAGAATCTGCCAAGAAATGATACCTTTATCATTTCTTGGCAGATTCTTACCTTAAGTCTATCTTCTCTGCTTTTATATTTCACTTTCTTTTGTCCTTTTCTTTACTACTTATAAAATCTAATGATTTAAATATTTTCTGTTGCCTGGTTATGTCACAAAATATGTTACTAAATTATGTATATATGTATATATGTATATATATATATATGTATATATATATATATATATATATATATATATATATATATATATATATATATATATATATATATATATATATATATATATATATATATATATAAATGTCTTCATTCAATTTTAAAATTTCTAACTACCTGTCTATTAATATTTCATTATCTCCTTGCCAAGGCATCCTAAAATATAATTAAAACATTACTTAATAATTAGGTTTTACTTTTCATTTTAGTAACATACAACATGATAATACAACATTTTTAATTCTAACTTTATTGTATTTAATAGAATATATGAAAAAAAATTAATCCTACAGTTGCCCATCTGCAATTGCAACAGAGCTATCATTAAGCATATGAAACTTGCATTTCTGACCATAGACACGAATCAACTGATGCGGATCCATTTTCTAAAAATAAATGCTCATTGATAAAAATAACTTTTGTGTTTTCATACTTTTTTATAAATCAAGCACTTATAGTTTAATTATAGCTTATTATAGTTTAGATTGTAAATTTTCTTTAAACTTATAGTTCAAATGGTAAACTTTCTTTAAACATTTTTCTTTTTTTTTTTAAAAAAACATAATTTGCTATATGGAGTTTTATAAAATGTATCAAGAGACTTTTGTATAGTGGTTTAGATAACTAGTAAAAATTTATTTAAAAATTTTGTTAAAAAAAAATTATTTTACAAATTTTTTATACAGCTATTATAAATATTATTTAAAACATTTTTTTAAATATTTATTTTATACAATTTACAACAGCATTTTTTTAAATCTTTGTGAAAATAGAATTTGTGAAAACCATTTTTGTATAATATGCTTGTCTTCGTTCTGCTCTTTTCTTGTAATCAATCATAATTCCTCGTAACTTTTTTTCTTGTTTTCTTGCTTCTTGCCACATTTTAAAATTGTTAATTTAACTGTAGTGTAGATAAAGTTGTTTATTGCTTAAAAAAACAAAAGAAAAATACAAGTTTTTCTGTTAAAAATAATATTCTATATTTTGTAATCTACATTTAAAAACCAAACATTTCACAATATTTAAAAAACAAATGAATAACATTTATCTTTTCACACCTAGTAATTAAAACTTATCTGTAATTACATAATAATTTAAATAAAATTATAATGTTTAAAAATACAATTAAAATCAAAGAAAAATTTTTTATAACAGCAAGTACAAACTTGAACTTCTAAAATAAAAAATAAAAAATAACATCTAAAATAACCTAAATAAGTAATAAAATTTTAAGTAATGAATAGTCAAATAACTATATTTAAAAAATAAAATTGTGTTTTATAAAGCCTAAAAATAATGTATTCTTTTTTAGATGGCATAGAATTTGTAAAAACTTGAAAAAATATTTGTAATGCAAATTTATTATACATAAACTTTATAATACATAAAATTTTAAAAATAAAATAACTATTTAAGTATATATAAGAAACATTTAACTTCTGTAAAGAATCATATTTAAAGCTGATAAACCAGTCAAAGTTAAATATTCTTCAACTTCCTTTATTTGTTTTTCTTTTTCATGGCGGTCTGTAATTCGTTGAAGATATGTCTAAATGATAAAAAACAATCATTATAGTATATCTATTTACAATATTTATTCCACATTTGCTTAAACTATCATTATCAATAGATATAAAGGGTGAATTAAACAATCGCAAATAGCAATGGGCCAAAGCCACTTAGCACTCTTGAAAGTATATTATTTGAAACAATTACAGTTACTAATTTCTATATTCCTGGGTAAAAAGGTTTATTGCAGAAAGGCTTAATTTTGTTTCAAAATGATGTTGATACCATATAATCTGGTCAGACAAATATTACTTTTGATTAATTTTTAAATTAACATTGTACTTAATGAACCACTTTTTTTTTAAAACAATTTAGCTAGCATTTAAAATTCTTTTTTAAATTAAACATTTTATCAGCTGTCTTGCTTTATTCTTCATCTATTGTATACAAAAAATCAAAGCAGTTTTAAAAAAGTTTTAAACTTTAAGAATCAACTATTATAAGCTTGCAAATAGAATATCATTTATCAACTTCTTCAATTGACTTGCAGAATTAAATTTCCACTATTCTTTAATTCCAAATCATGTTTTTAATGTTATATTGTTATATGAAATTATATTTTAATGTTATATGTTATTAATGTTATAATGTTGGGTGAAAGGAAAAACTCATCAAGTGATGAAAAAGGCATTTCAATAGTTATATTCACCTAGAGTTCAGACTGTTGTAATTGTAATGAAAACAATAGAAACAATAACTATTGTTATTGTATTAACTTTTTGAGAAACAATAACAATACTTGTAATCTACAACTATTTTAATACTGTAATACAATAACAATAAATATTGTATTGTAATTCATCTTTATAATACAATGACAATATCTGAAAAAAAAGGTATTGTAATGACCCACTAAAAAAACAATAAATATTGCATTGTAATTCATCTTTATAATACAATAACAATTTATTATTGTAATAAAAGAAAAATGTTATGTCAAAATTTATTTAATGTTCTAACAATCTAGTCTCCAAGATATATGACCTTGAAATAGGGTTCATCTAATATAAAATTGATGATTCTATTTCTATTTTACTATTACAATAGACACCAACCCATTTTTTTCGATACTTTCTCAATTAACACTTACTTTAATATAACTTTGTCTTTTTGTTTCCCTGAGACTTTTATGGATGTGTTCCATAAAGTAACTGTAGTTTTGGGTCTAGTTGCATAAATGTTACATAAATCAATAATATTTGTTTGGTATTCTAAACTGCCTCATTTTTCAAAATCTACAAAATTCAACAGTATGGTCTGATAGGCGATTAGTAATCTGAAAATGTAGAAAAAAATGTTGCAAAATAAAAGTAGTTCACATATTAAGACAGCTTAATGCATAATTACCCAGGTCAATTGTTCCCTGATTCCATAATGTTGTAATTTATTACTCATTAGCAGTAAATTTTAATGATAAAAAAAAGTAATTTTTACGTGCTTTATGCAGTTAATCAGTAAGTGAAAACGTCATCTGCCGCTGAAACATTTTAATATCAGTTTAGACAAAAAAATTCAAAAATTTTACTTAACATAGTAAATAGTTATAAAAATAAAAACATATAATAAGTTATATATTTGTATGATGATGAATGAATATTATTAATGTTAATTCTAAATAATTTATTCTTTAAACATTTATTTATTTTGAATTCAAAATAAATAAAGTTTTTATATGTAAATGGTTACTAGAAACGGGTGCCACGAGCAAATCTGAACTTAATATTTATTAAGTATATGTAATATATGCATACTTCTTTGATTTTCCTGGCTTCACTTCACTTCTCAAAATAAATAAAATTTATATATATATATACAAGTGACTGCTAAAAACGAGTGTCACGGGCACCACTGAACTTTCTAGTGCCCAAATAAATGCGTGGGAAAAGAATCTAAATACTTTAAAATACAATAGCTATTGGACTTTGAAATAGTAATACAATACACCACAATAATTATTGTAACTGTTTTTTATCCCAGCAAAACAATACAAAAATTATTGTAATTGTTTTACATCACAGTAATACAATAAAATAGTTTAAGAACTTCAATGTATTGTTAGAACAAAAACAATACAATAGTTATTGTAACTGTTTTTATTCACAGCAATACAATAACAATAAATGTTTTAATTACATCTCTGTTACTACAATACAATATTATTGTATTGTAATGTGTTATTGTATTAAATTTCGACAACTACAACAGTCCGAACTCTATATTTACCTATAGTTACAGTTTAATAGTTATGTTTAGGTCATAATTTCTAAAATATTTTGAATTGATTGCAAGCATACGGTATATATATATGTGTGTGTGTGTGTGTGTGTGTGTGTGTGTGTGTGTGTGTGTGTGTGTGTGTGTGTGTGTGTGTGTGTGTGTGTGTGTGTGTGTGTGTGTGTGTGTGTGTGAGTATATATATATATATATATATATATATATATATATATATATATATATATATATATATATATATATGTATATATATATATATATATATATATATATATATATATATATATATATATATATATATATATATATATATACATATATATATTAAAAACATTAATTTACAAAATTTTAATACATAATTTTATCAATATTTCAATTATAAATAAATCAATTAATCAGTAGATAAAAAAGAAAAAGCTTACATTAAATTGCACAACTTTATTCCTGTGTAACACCATAACATGATCAGTAGCCAATTGTTGTTCTAATACATAAAATGTTGTAAAAATTATTAACAAGAAAAGATATTTTGCACAATATTTTGCACTTTAAGAAATTTTAGTCTTTTTTGTAAAATTTAATTTGAAAATGAATTACTTTTTATTCTATAAGTATTTATTTCTCTAATTTTATTATTACCATTTATAATGTTCATTTTAAACTTCTTGTATTAACCATTCTTAAACACTGACTTTTTTTGATTGTACTCCCAACCTCAGCAATCCCAAAAATAACGCAAGAATTGTTTTAGACGTCTTAAAGTTTTTTAAGTTATAATAGGTTTTTTAGACACCTGAAACAGGTCATTTGCCAAATGGAATGGTTGCTAATTAGTTTTTTTTTTGTCTATTCATGTTATTAGAACATTGAGAAAAAAAAAAATTTAACCACACCTTTGATGATGCCATCACTAAGACGACTATATTTACTAATATCCAACTTTGGTAGTGCTTTTTCTATTGATATCCATGAGTAAGTTTCTGGACATAACAAAAAAGATGGATAATATTGTTTCTGAAAAAAAAAAAATTTTTTTTTTTTACTATAAACACCTATATATACAAATAAATTGATATGCTTGTTCTGTGAAGTTTTCACAGAACAAGCATAACAAAAAAAAATCTTCATAGAATGTAAAAATTTTCAACTTTTACATTCTCTGAAAATGAAACCTCTTTCACCATTTGAGCAATGCTCCTCCTTTGAGCAATATATTTATTCCTAATTATTTTGTAGATCATATTTTTTGTAAGAAGTAACTTATTTTTTGTCTCAGTTCATATGCTAAGTTTTAAAGTAGTGTTACAAAAATTAATATATTTTGCTTGTTCTCGCTTGGTACTATTCCGATATAGTTCTTACTTGATTGCTATTCCGATAAAACAAGACAAAGCACATTTATAGAACAAATCTTAACACTTCTTAAGTGATTTTGCATTTCAATAATTCACATAGATAAATATCAATCCATGCAAACTTCAATTGGCTATCAAAAAATAAGTTTGTGTGATTCAGTAAAAATTTCAGTTCTAAAAGCTTGATACTTTTAACTAATGACTAAAGGGGAGGAGTTATATACAAAGTAAAACATTTTTTTTTTCAAATTCAAATGAAAATGAAGAGATTTTAAATTTAAATTGTCTAACAATACAATTAATGTGAAAACTAATTAACTGTTGCACACAAGACTTATTTTTTTATAAAACAGACATTAATGGATTGTAAACACTGAAAATATTTGTCTTATCTGTTTTAAAACCAATTTACTTATTTTAGTGATTTTTTTACTTTGAAAAAGAATTTATTAAAAAAAAAACCTTTTTAAAAAGAGTTTAAACTTTTAAAAAATTTTTTTAACAGTACTTCATAATAGCATACTAATGATGAAAACATAACATACATAAATGATGAAAATCATTTATATGCTTATTGTTGTAAATGTTATATGACCATTTTTTAGCCTGATCCTTTGTGGCGGCAGACAATAAGATAGTGAATGCATGTACTGAAGCTGAGCTTATCTAAACACACACACATATATATATATATATATATATATATATATATATATAATATATATATATATATATATATATAGAACTGTATAGGAGAATGAATTGTATATTTAGCCACGTGTTAAATAATCAAAGAGAAAACTATCATATTTAAACTAAAAATAAAAATAAGTAAAATACCAGTTAACAAGATTTTTAATATAAAGTAGGAAATTTATTAAAACATTAGATTAAAAGCAAAAAAGAAGCTTTTTATTTGGTATGCTAACATTATTTATCAAGTTTAATTTAATTTTATGTTTTATCCATTTTCAATCTATGAAGCTAATGTAAGCTTAAGAATTGCAATGGCTACATAAATTCAAAAAAAAAAAAAAAAATCAATTAACAGTTGTTTATTACTAAAAAATTAAAAAAAGCTACAAAAGCACTATAAAAAAATCTAAAAATAGATATTTAGCAATCTTTTAATAATTAGCAAACTAAAAGACAAATACCTTGTATCTCATTTTCGAACAGGAATGAATATAGAAACCCATGTAATAATATTTAAGATCATGGTGCTGCTTCTGTAATTCACGGACCAGATAAATTTCTCTAAACAGTAAAATGTTATGTTTCAATTATTTGCTTAAAGGGATCCCCAACTGCCGAGACAAGTTGTGTTAAAGAAAACGTTTAAAAAAAACATTTGAGCTAAATTTTTTTGATTGAAACTAAATAATGAATGTATACCAACAAAATGAAAATTATTGTTTTAGTCTAAGCTTGTCTTCTCTATTTTTTTTTTGGTTCTCGGAGTCTGTATAATGTTGTCTGCAGACTTGATAATTTATTCCATGCGTGTTTAATTCATAACAGTTTTGGTATATGACATCATCGCAATATCTTTTTAAGACAGCTTTTTTTTTTCTTTTTTTTTTGTTTTAAAGATATAAGTATTTTTTCTACTACTATCAGAAAATCAAATATTTGTATAACTTTTTACTAAATCACAAAAAATATTTGTGATTTAGTAAAAAATGATGCGCATTAATGCAGTGGCTAACTTCCAGACATGGAACAAACTCCAAACATTTATAAGTTCATACTTATGTAAAAGAAGGATGCTTTGCAAAAATTTACGATGATTGGAGCTTGGGAACGAAAAAAACCCATAAAATTTAACCGACACTGCCCCAAACGTGAGAGCAAACAAGTTGATGAAATAGTTTTTGTACTATTTTTAACTAGACTTATATTTATCTATGAATTTTAAGTTTCATAGTATTATCTCTCAGCGCTCAAAAATTATGACCATATAAAATTTGCAACCCCATAAACTTCATATGGTTATAATTTTTGAACGCTGAGAGATAATAGTGCGAAACTTAAAATTTAAAGATAGTACACAAATTATTTAATCAACTTGTTGCTTTCATGTTTGGGGCAGTGTCGGCCAAATATTTTGGGTTTTTTTGTTCCCAAGCTCTAATCATCATAATTTTTTGCGAAGCATCCTTATTTTACATAAGTATAAACTTATCAATGTTTGGAGTTGGCTTCATGTCTGGAAGTTAGCTATCTCAAAGACCAAAAAATGCTGGCGCCGCCACTGCATATATGTATATATATATATATATATATCTTTATATTAAAAATTTTATTTTTACTTGTTTTATTATTACTTTATTTTAGAAGACAGCTGAAATAATGACACAATTATACATATTTTGTGATTATTAGATTTGCAGGCAGAGAAAAAATAAAGGCAGTATGATGCGGTTTTTCGTTTTGTATTTAGTCCATATGGTTTAATAGAGCTGTTCGTTTTATGTTTAATTTACATTTAGTTATGGTTTAACTCACTACCGCAAGCCACTGGTAACGACTTTCGAGTGTGCTTTACAATTTATCTTGTTTTGTACATAAATTTCCCTTCTAGACACATAATTTGTTTGTTCTAAAGATTCAATTAATTCTCTACATAATCAAAAAAAAGAGCTATATTGTGTAATTATAAAAAAGTTATCGCAAAGTTAAAAAAGTTTGAATAAACCTTCATAAAAAAAACTTCTTCAAATTTAGTTATAAAATAAAACAGCGTTAACACTGTTGTAAAACTTAACTTGTAGAAGTGTTAAGTATTCAGTTAAGTAATTATCAAAGTATTTTGAAGAAAAATATACTTTTTATTCATTAAATGAGGTTTGTTTCAGACTTAATGTTTTAGTTACTACTTATAAAAACAATAGTTTTAAGCACTATGCATTTCTTATTGTTTAATGATGTGTGTTAAAAACTTTATTATTATCGAATTTTAATTAATTGTCAATATTATGTCATTCAAATTTTATTCAAAAAAATGTGAGGTTGATACAGAAAGATTTTTGTTTCGCTGGTAGCGAACAAGTTAATGCGATTCTTTGTTTTTATATTTATATAATAACTATTATACTATAATTATACAAATATTTTTTTTAACTTTAATTTAGTTTGATTTGTAAGTTTATTAGTAAAATAATTTGTTTAATATTTATTTTCTATTTAGTTCAGTTTATATGCTTTATTCAAATCGCTCATTTTTTATTCAGTTTAAATAAATTTAAACGTCTTAGTAAAATTATTCTTTTAGTATCTAGTTTATATTTAGTTTAAACCAGTGCGTTTTACTGTAAATATTCATTGTATATTAAATTTTTATTTCTATAATTTTTATAAATTTAATTTTTAAATGCATCACAATTTTTTTTTGAGATTTAGTAAAAAGTTATATTCAATTAACATGTTTTGGTGATTGCGGCAAAAAAATAAAACGATATCTTGAAAGAAAAAATGTATATGATGACGTCATATACCGAAACTGTTATGAATTAAACACGCATTAAATAAATTATCAAGTCTGCAGATAGCGGCTAACATTATACAGACTCCAAGAACCAAAAAAAAAAAATGGAGACAACGAGCTTCTACTAAAACTTGAACTTTAATTTTGTTGGTATGCATTCATTTAGTTTCAATAAAAAAATTTAGCCCAAATGTCTTTTTTTTAAACATTTTTTTTTATATGAACACAACTTGTCTCGGCAGCTGGGAATCCCTTTAAGATTAAATATTTTAATAATTTTAATTTTTTACATAATATAATAAAATATTTTTATTTTACTAGTTTACTTTTCAGTAACTAGAACAAAGTTAAATTAAACAAAATAAAAAATTAAATATGAAAATAACATATAGTAACAATTAAACTGTCTTTTAAAAAAATTTATTTTTTTAACAGTTGGTCCCAACAAAATGAAAGTTATTTGATTACAAATGAACAGTAAAAAGATGCAACTTCAATGAACTTGCAAATCATACAAGATTCGTTTTAGGTTAATAGAAGAGTTGACAAAACATAGTAGTATTTGTAGAAAAGAGGAACTTTATTTCAGAGAGCAACCTTATTATGATGAGACAGTGGTTCAAGTTTGGCAACTAGAACATTTTAAAGTACATTTACAATCCATTTTTGTCATAGTGTTGCCAAACTTGGACTTATTATATAGGTTAAAGGTTAGAAGACTAGTTATAAAGGTTAAAAGGTGAGAAGAACCAATCCAAATATGACCAAAGTATACCATACACGGACAAATAATAAATTTTTGTATTTATAGAAATTTATAGATGTAAAGAATGGAATCAGAAGTAATAAAATAGTACAATAATAAAGAGAAGATAACCTTAAAAAATGCTAACTTTCCAATTGATTGGATATATGGTTATCATGAATAGTCAGTAGTGAAAGATAATCCAAAAGGACATCAAAGTAAAGAACTGTCACCATTCATCTAAATAAGAATATTGATGATATAGCAATAATTAATAGCAATAATTAACATCAAAAAGAGAGATTATTGAGAAAATCATTAGTTGAAAAATAACACAACCATGCGGTGCCCCAAAAATTACTTAAAATGAAGGAGATGTAATGAATGATAGAAATGTTAAAATGAAGGAGATGTAATGCATGATAGAAATGTTAAAATGAAGGAGATGTAATGCATGATAGAAATGTTAAAATGAAGGAGATGTAATGCATGATAGAAATGTTAAAATGAAGGAGATGTAATGCATGATAGAAATGTTAAAATGAAGGAGATGTAATGAATGATAGAAATGTTAAAATGAAGGAGATGTAATGCATGATAGAAATGTTAAAATGAAGGAGATGTAATGCATGATAGAAATGTTATAAGGTCAGCAGTTGAATAAGAGGGATGTTTAAATTTTTCAACCACTGCAAATGGTTAACAATTCCTCAGCTAATGCAAATGATTAACATTTCTTTAGCCATTGCAAAGGGTTAAATATTCTTCAGCCACTGCGAATGGTCAACAAATTCTTTAGCCACTGCAAAAAGTCAACAAATCAGCGGTAGAATAAAAGGATAAATGTCTGTGATTCGTTTTCTGAGAGTAAGATATTGGTCTCAAAATGGACATCAGAAATTTATTATTTTAAAATTTAAGACCAAGAAGTCAAAACTTAATAATTTAAAAGTAAAGTAAGTTTTTACATTAGTGAGTAAGTTATTAGAATCAAGATATTATACTAAAAATAGTAAGACTCGATAAACTCATTAATAATAGAGTCAAATAATAATAATGAAAGATAAATAATAGAGTCATATAATAATAGATATAGATAAATAATAGAGATAATGGAGAAAAGCAATAGTTGGAGAGATTAAAGCATTCTCCAGACTTTTAAAAAACTGGAATCATAGATGCTACTTACCAACAGGCAGAAAACCTATATATGCTACTTACCAACAGGCAGAAAACCAAAATTTTAAAGTTTTATATAATCATACAAATTGAAAAAAAAAAAAAAATAGACATTTAATAATTTAATAAATACCTTATAGCAGAATAAGTGCCAAGTGAAAGAAAACTATAGTCAGGATCATAAAAAAAATAAACTGATGAAACAGCTAATGGAAGTATATCCAATACACCCACTGCAATTAGATTACCTAAATAATTATCAATATAAACTATCAATTTAAAATAAATAATAAAAATATATAATAAAAACAAACATAAAAATCATTTAATTATTAAATGTTAGTAAATTAATAAAAAGTTTATAAAATAAGCAGTACCATAAAGATAAAAAATTTTAGTTTTTGATAAAAAACTACATATAAAAATTTACATTTTTATAAGTTTGGACTTTTTACTAATATAGTTTTTTGTCCAGAAAAAATTAATTAAAAAAAACTTCTTTTGTTTTCTGGACATTAAACTTCTTTTGTTTTCTGGACATTTCCCGCATTGTTCTAAATTTTTGACTTGAACATTCAGATATTATTATAAATAATTTCAAGAAATTTAACTTTTTATAAATTAAAAAAATTATATGAATAAAAATTTATAAATAATGGGAGAATCAGGGGTGTGGAGTCGCAAAAAAAAAAGTAATGACTCTGACTCCAACTCCAGTTGTTAAAATTTTTTGAGTACAACTGCAACTCCGACTTCAACTCCAAAACAAAATTTTTAAAAAATTCTTTGAATTCTTTAAAAAAATATGCGATAAAATAAAAAAAGTTTTTAGGCAAATTTATAAAACGTTCTTTGGGGTTTAGTATAAATATAAGGTTAATTGAATGTTTTATACATGCACGTGCAATACCGAGAAGTTTTACTGTTGGAGTTGGAGTTGCGATTTTGTTTAGCGACTCCGACTCCGCTAAAAATGTCGCAACTCCGACTCTGACTTCACAGCCCTGGGGAGAATGGGGAGGCAAATACTATTACATTTAAAAAAGTAAAAAAATAAAAAATAAAAACAAACATAAAATAAGCTTAAAACATGACAAAAACATAATGGACACTGCATAAAAATGTTAAAATGCAAAAACACCACAATGACATAAAGTTAATGTAACCAAACTAAAACATATGATACGCAACATATAGAATTTATTTGTAAACTGTTAGTAAAAAAAAAAAATAATTAATTTTAAAGTTTATTTTGTTTATTAAAATATTTTTTATTCATGAGTAAACCTAGTGAAACTTATATAAAACATGAAAGAACATTTGGGTTTACTCATGGATAAAAATAGAGTTGTTAACAGTAACAAACTACCATTATATAAACAGTAACAAACTGTAAAATGCAGTTTGTTACGGTTTATATAATTATGGAAGAGTTAATGCAGATTTTTGCAACAAGATGATCTTCTTGAAGTTAATCTAATTTTTCTAATATTGAAAAAAAAAAATTTAAGCTCATTCACGCAAGGAATTAGAATGTTAAATACTAACTTAACTCACAAGTTTTAATTTAAAATAAAAACTTTTTTAAAATTACTATTATTAAAGTAATACCAATTTCAGTTAAAAATTAGTGAGGTCTATTTCAATGCAAAGAAAAAAAATATTTAAACAAATTATAAATATAGTTAATTGTACAAAACATTCATAATCAATATGATGTCATAGCTTAATTTTTAACTTAATAAAAACTCTGCACATTAGAGTTCATTCACGTAATGTTAAATGCTTACAATCACAAGTTTTAATTTAAAATATATTTTAAATTAAAATTTCAAATAGGTAAAAAAACTTTTTTTAAATTACTATCATTAAAGTAATACAAATTTCAGTTTTATTGAGGTAAATTTTAATGTAAAGAAAAAATATATTTTTTATTAAATAGCCTAAAAACTTTGACCATCAGGTTGCTGTGTTAGCCAGTTAAATTTACCACCCACATTTTGGAAATTATGTTAAATTTACCTCCCACTTTATTATTTACTTTTTTATTTATGTTTTCCACACTGATTATGATTATACTATAATATAAAATTTAAAAACATAAGAAAATCAAAAACAATTTATTTACCATCTAAATAATATTGTTGATGATAAGCACCATAAATGCTTTCTGGCTGAAAAAAACAAAATTTTTGGTGAATTAACAAGTTATGCAATTGTTTATTAGAAAAAAAATCTGTTAAAAGAAGATGCCTTAAGAATTAAATAAATGCATTTAATGCATAATAATGATTGTAAAAAACTCCACAATTGTATGAACTACAGTTGTGTAGTAGCTAAAGTTGTGTAGTAGCTACAGTTGTGTAGTAGCTACAGTTGTGTAGTAGCTACAGTTGTGTATTAAAATAAAAGATAACTGAAATAAAAGTATCATGGTTATAAATTATTTGATTACATTCTTGAATGTAATCAAATAATAATTTATAACTATTATACTTTCAATCTTTTATTTTATAAATATTATATATACAGGTTTCAGCGGTAGTAAATGAGTGCAAAAGCAGAAAAAAGCTCTCCAAAAACAAACTTGGCGAGCATTGTGAGCTGCTCCTCTAAACAGCTTCTTACGAGAGTTTTTGGTTTTTGCATGACCTATCTGTTTATCATTTCTTATCAAATACAAAATTTGGTTTTACACTTGTTACAAGCATATGTTATTTTATTATTATTTCTTATTAAATACAAAACTGAATTATTTACACCAATATTTGATAAAAATATAGTAATTAATATATAAATAATTCATTAAATAAAATTAAAATTATAATGCAATAATTTAGAGTTTATTAATTTCATTTTTTATCAGTTAAATAATTTTATATTTTATCAACATAACTTAGAGAGTAGTAATTTTTTATTTATTAAATAGTCCAATCTAATCAAAAACATGTGCATTTAAATCTGCGCTTTTTTAAATTATTTTTTTTCTCTCTCAACAACCATGCCTTTTAAAAAACATTGCTAGCAGGGATTAGTCACTGCTTTAGTGGTGCCACAGCAATTATTTTTAAATATCATTTTATATTAACCTGGTTTAGTTTTATCTAAATATAAAAAATTGATTAAAAGTAGTATCATTTTATAAAAGGCATTTCTTTGAAAACATTTGGTTACTATTGGGGCTATTCTGACAGCGTCAAAAATGTCAAAGCAATTAAATTAATGCGGAAGTACATTAAATTTTTTTTTTTTTTTAAAAAAAACCGCAATAATAATGACTAGAAAGTTTTTTTTTAATTAGTGGTGTTTTTGTTTTTGTTTTATTAAAAAACATTTTTAAAACATGCCTAAGTGTTGCTACATCGACTATCTTATATCCTGCTGCTACAAGGGAGTGTTGCTACATGGACTATCTTATAGCCTGACTCGCAATGGAGTGCTGCTACATCAACTGACAAATAATCTGACTCGCAAGGGAGTGCTGCTACATCGACTGACAAATAGCCTGACTCGCAAGGGAGTGCTGCTACATCGACTGACAAATAGCCTGACTCGCAAGGGAGTGCTGCTACATCGACTGACAAATAGCCTGACTTGCAAGGGAGTGATATATATTATATATATATATATATATATATATATATATATATATATATATATATATATATATATATATATATATATATATATATATATATATATATATATATATATATATATATATATATATATATATATATGTATATATATCAGGAGCTATTGTTGACCGTTTTCGACAGCGCCAAATATATTTGGATGCCGCCCAATTCAGAAATTGATTATCTTTTTTTTTTTTGATGATTGGTGTTTTTTTTAACAAAAAAAATGTGTATTTATATTTCCGCAAAATTTTCATGCCTACATATGTTTAAGAAATTTTCAATGCTTACATATGTTTTCTCAAAATTTTCATACGACAGGTGCCGGCCTGAAGCCAATTTTCCTAGAATAGTCCTTGTATATATATATACATATATATGGTATATATACATATATAAATATACAGGCCTCGGCGGGAATAAATGAGCACAAGAGCGGAGATAAAAGAGAGGCTCTCTTAAAACGAATTTGGGGAGCTGTGCAAGCTGCTCCTCATTTAAATCGACGCTCTTTTTTAATTTGAATTTTTTTTTGCAACAACTGTGCTTTTTAAAAAGCACTCCAGAATATTATGAAATTAATTTCTTTTTTAAATGACATTTTGTTTTTTATTTTAGTTTCAATGATAATTATACTTTCGTGAGAAAAGTTATACTTCTGCCAAACCCATAAATTGCTCCCATAAACCATTTTAGGGGAGTGTGGGCGAGAGCTAGAGCTAAAGCTCTCGCTTTCCGCCGAGGCCTGAATATATATATTATATATACGATATATATACATACACATCTATATATAAATATATATATATATTAAACATATGATGTGTGTGTGTATATATATATATATATATATATATATATATATATATATATATATATATATATATATATATATATATACATACCTTATATTAATTGGTAAATATTTTAAAAATAATAATCTAAATTTTTTTGGTGAATATAGAAATTAGGAACATACAAACCTCAAGTGGACCTTTAACAAGAAAACGAAGAAACTAAAATAACAATGTTTATATTGTCAAAAATAAATAGTAAGTATTTCATTTGTGCAACTAGGGGTAGTAAAGTCAGTGGAGTAAAGCTTAATTATAATAAACGTTTTTGCTTTTAATAATAAACATTAATAATAACAAAAAGAAATATTTATCTATTTTAAAGAAAAACTCAAATATGTTTATATTTATTTTGTTATATATATTCACACATGAGTTATATTTATATATAACTTAAATTTATACAAGAGTTATATTTATAAATAATTGTTATTTGTTAGCAGTTTCAAACCAAGCAGATGAACCAATGAATGAAATGTAGAGACAAAATTCAAAAGAAAGAATTTGCATTTAAAAAATAGTTACAAAAATAATAACCTTTGCTTCAGAACAATCTTCAATAGATTCTTTATGAATAAGCATTTGATACTTAATAAACAATAGATGTTCTTTATGAAAGGTGCGCTGGTACTCTTCAGATTGAGGGCAACATTGAACAAGCTTTAACTGAAAATTCACAATACAGCCATTCAGTTTACTGAAAAAACCTAATTCTAATTTAAGCTAAACAGAGCCGGCCTGAGAAGCATAATTGTATGTAGGATGCAGTTTCAGCACCTAAAAAGATACACTTTTGGCATTTACTAACAGACAAATAATGATACATAAATTTAAAAACTTTAAATATCTATATCCATAAAAGTATTGTTTTTTGTTATTAATTTGCTGTTGTAATGATTTGCATAAACTTGCTGTTTTAAAGGTTAGCATTATTTCACTGCTTGGTACTAACAACTTTTAATCAATTCATAAAAATTAGTGAGAATAAACCAATGAGTGGAAATCAAAGTTTTAAAAAATATAATCAAAACGACAAATATACTGAAAATATATTTTCTTTTGAAAATTGCTTGGTACTAACAACTTTTAATCAATTCATAAAAATTAGTGAGCATAAACCAATGTGTGGAAATCAAAGTTTTAAAAAATATAATCAAAACAACAAATATACTGAAAGCCTTTTGAGGAGAGGCATGCTTAATCTGACTACACATATTTTGTTTTAACAACTTGACCGAGGCTATTTTCATTTTTTGCATTTTAAAAAAAGCCAAAAAAACTAAACTAAAGAAAAATTAATTAAAAAAAAAAATTATAAACTGAAAATAAAGAAAATAAACCTTAACTAATGAAAAAATAAATAAAAGATATATTTGAAAAAATAAATAAAAGATACATTTGAAAAAATAAAACTATAAAAATAAGATGTCTTTTTTTTAATTTAAAGAAAAAATGTTTCACTTAATATACTTTGGAAAAGATGGAAGTTTCAAAGTTATTAAATCCAAACTTTAGAAGTTAACTACTTTAAAAAAAAAAAAAATTCGAAGCTTTGATATTTTCTAATGTCTACTAAATGAATAAAACATAAAAGAAAATTATTCATTTAAAAGATTTGAACCTGCAACCAATACTGAACCAACAGTCGTGCCTCAAATATAGAACAATACATTATCTAAAGTGTTAAGCTGATGTTGGATTGCATAAAAAATTATTAGGTTTGAACTATTAGATGAGATGCTTTTAAATTGAAAATATATATTATTTTTATGCTTTTATTTTTTCTGATGTACCTTTTATTTATTTTTAGTTTATGGTACGTTTATTTTTAACTTTCTCTTCAGTGTTTTTTTCAGAGCATTTTCAAAACACGCAAAATATTAAAAAAAAAGGGATGGCCAAAATGTTAAAACAAAACATTATATGAAATGGTCAGATGAGGCATGCAGCTGCATCCCTCTTCTCAGAAGGTTTATACTGCATAGAAAATACTATAAATACTCAAACCCCTAAATACTCCAGGTGTAGAAATAAAATATATTTATATACATATAAAGTTCATTTTTTTAGTTTACTATAGTAAACATTTAAAAAGTTTAAGTCTTATTTAATACATTATTTGCTGCCGGCTCTGAAGCTTGGTAACAACTAAACAATAATGACCACATTTTCATTCAGATTTATAAAGAATTATTAAAAATATTTTTCAGACATTATAAAGAAAATTTTTTTAAAAAGTTTAAAAATTAATCTACCTCAAGTTTATGAACTCCATTATTTGGCAAACCTTCTAATAAGTCTTCAATCGATTTTTCGGGACACTTTTGTTTTTTTTGAAAACTAGATTCATCAAATAATAATCCATTCTAAATCACAATAATCAATATAAGTTAAACTGAAATCAAATTCAAAAAAAGAAAATTTAAAAAACCATTGGTTGATAATAGAAAATATTTACTTCATACAATAAAGAAAGATACCAAGACGAGAGTAATACCTCTTCAGCTTTTTTTTTTAATTTTGTAATTTTTCGTTCTTTTCTGATATTTTTAGCTTTAAGATTAGTCAAACAATCTAATTAAGACAAACAACCACATTATTAAACAAATATTAAACCAACCACATTAAACAATAAATTAACAAAATATTTTCTAAAAAAACAAAAAAAAATAACAATTTCTATCTTTATAATTTATAGTAAAAATAAAACAAAAAAAATTTTTTTTTTACAGAACTTATCATTTTTATTGTTAACAGGATTTTTTGAGTACTTGTTAAAAAAAACTATAGAATAGTGCACATATATAATAGGCAATAAAAACTAGAAAACTCACTCACAACACAGAATAACAGTAAATAAACACAATCAAATTCAAAATAAATACTAAATAAAAACTTCTAAAAAAAAATATTTTATGAAGAGATAAAGATAATATACAACAAGAGAATATTAATGTAGTAGTGGTGTAGTGGTAGAATCGCTTCATAAAAGAGAAGTTCCGAATTCAATTCCCACCATGTCCCTGGTAGTACAGTGGTCAACCTGTTTCTCCACGCAGTCTCCTTGTTTATCAAGGTTCATGTTTCGAAGTTAAAGAGTTGAGAGGCTGTAACAACAATAAAATAGCCCACTTGACTGTAGTGGTCTTGAGGCTCTTGATCTTTGGCTTTGAGGAGGTGAATTACATAAATAAAAAAAAAATAAAAAAAAACTTGCAACTAGGGATGCAGAGTCCCAAAAAGGACTCTGCATCCCTGGTGTGACATATTTGAAAGCCACAAAAAGATTATTTCTTCCTAGTTTCTGGTATCCAGGAGCTCTAAAAATATAAAAAAGTTTATGGAGTAAAACTTAGGTAAGGAGATCAATTGTTTTTTGAACCCGAAGTGCTTAGGTATAATGGCAGCAAGGACTCAGGGCTTAAAAACAAAAAAGTTCCAAGTAAATTAATCTCGTATACTATTTTTCTTATAACAGATCATGAGTCAACAAACATGTTTAGAGTTTCTGGACACTACAGACCTGGAAAAAATAGAGATATAAAGCTGGAGTCTTTTTGTGACTCCACATCCTTGCTTGCAATGATAAGACAGCTATTTGGCCACAAGGATTGCTAACTATAAAAACTATACTAGCAATTAGCAAGAAAAAATTTGTATGCAAATATTTAATTACAGTGAATTAACTAAAAACAAAGAATCTTTTATAATTATTGATTATGGTTTAACAATTGACAATGTTGGTGGTGAAAATGATCTTATAAGATACGGTTACCTGTAAAAAAAACTTGACCATGCCATTATAATCAAAGATCAGTTTTAACTCATGGGTTCAACAGTCACCATAAATAAAAATGTAATATATAATCAAAATAATATCATGCCTTTCCATCAAGTGTGCGCGGTCACACCCCTTGCTTGTCCAGTTTTAAATAAAAAATTTTTAGACAACTTGACCATGTTTTTACATAGTAAGAATTTTAGGAACATGCTCCAAAATAAAGCTATAAAAAAAACTACAGAGAATAAAACAGCAATATTCATATAAAGGAAACAAACACTATACAAAATAAAAAACCTAAATAAAATAAACTAAAAAAAAATTAAAAAAAGAAATATTTTGTCAAAAAAATAATATGCCTAAATATTTTACTGTTTTTGATTTCTTTCTTTTTTTTTATAGAGCGTTTGTTGTTTTCAATAACCAAAACTGATATAAGTTGAGGAAAAAAGCAAATAAGAATATAACCAAAACATTTTTTGATATACAAATTATTTGCGACTTTAGTCAGTCAGTATATTAAGGAAATACTTTATTATTTGCGCTAGAAATAAGTTTTTGCTAAACTTTTTTGTTAAATTTTTCTTATATAAGAAATTTTGTTAAAAACTTGTTTCCGTTTTTCTCAGTAGATTTCTCAGTTTAGCTTTTTACTGTGAATCATTAAAACAATTTAAAAGTTAAAAAATGCGAACTGTCATGGTCAGTGTGTCTGAAAAAGTTACTTTAAATGTAGACAAACAAAGCCTGCTAATGCACACACTTTCTGGGAAGGCTTTATATGATATATGCAAAATTAATTGACAGAAGAAGCAAATGATTGCTTGTGCAGTCTGTAAGCAATTTATTTATAAGAGCTGATTAAGTGTAAAAAATGTACTATTATTGAATACAGAAAAGTCAAAAAAATATCAAAATAAATAGAGGTTGAATTATAAAGTTTTACTAAGTTTTGTTTTCTTGAAGATACAATTCAATGCCTGGGCCAGATTCTAAGAATTAACTCTACTTTTATCATCAAGGTGGTGCATCAAAAAAGATTGAGGAAAAGTTATACACCACAAGTGTTATGATGTATGGCAGTGAAATATAGGTAATAAAGATTGTCCAGCATCTTGAAGGAAGAGTAAACGATGATTAGATGGATGTGTAGTGTGATTTTCGAAGATAAGAAAAGAAGCAATAATCAAAGACAGATATTAGTCATAATGAATGTATACAATTGTATGTGAACCAGGGAAGATGATGACAATGATGATGATGATGATGATGATGATGATGATGATGATGATGATGATGATGATGATGATGATGATAATGATGATGATGATGATGATGATGATGATGATGATGATGATGATGATGATGATGATGATGATGATGATGATGATGATGATGATGATGATGATGATGATGATGACATTAAGAAGATAATTAACATATAAGCTTATATTCTATATCACAAAATATTCATCAGTAACTTAATATCTTTTAAACAGGTAAAAATCTTTAAAAATAGGAAGGAGGTTTTTTATCAGATATAAAGTAAAAAAATAAAAAAAAAAGTTAAAAACAGACATTTTGAAAAGATAACTTAAAGTCTAAAAGAGATACCTTTAACTGGTTTGATTTGAGAAGCTTGAGAAGTCATTTGAGAAGATACAGTTTCTAACAAAGGACGATCTTTATTAGTATTTTCAGAAGTTACATAAAAAGTCATTTGAGAAGATACAGTTTCTAACATAGGACAATTTTTAATAGTACTTTGAAATGCATTAGAGTTTTCACAAAAATCAAAATTTAACTTTTCGACTTTATGAACTTCATGTAATTCATCATCAAAATTTTCCATATTGTTAACCAAGCTTTGCTTTTCATTTTTTAAACCATTGGTGAGAAACTTATGAAAACGTTTAACAACTTTTTTTTGGGATTTTGTCAACTTGATATTTGTTGCATCGCATCTATTATGTACAATAAAAAAATTATACAAATGCTTATTTTTAAAAATAACACATAACAGTAAGTTAATAAATTCAAATAAAAACAATATTATAGAAAGTTTCTGATTCTATTGGTGAAAAAATACATCCTTTTTTTTTGTTTACAAGGTTATTTCCCATGAAATGACACTTGGGCGATTTGGATTAGTTATCTAATGCATATATATATATATATATATATATATATATATATATATATATATATATATATATATATATATATATATATATATATATATATATATATATATATATATTATCTTTTTAACTTTATAACACACCTGATACTATATTGTGGACAGCAAGTTTTGTTCATGATAGGTTTATAACAATACTTTCCGCTTCTACAAGATGCACAAAAAATAAAAAATCAACAAATCATTTATTTTTAAAATAAATCACTTAAGTTAATACAAAATAATACCTTTATTAAAAAAATAAAAATTTATATTTAATAATAATTATAATAATAATACAACCAAAAACTTTTCAATAAATGGTCTTTTTTTTTTTTTTTATTTGCATTCACTCCCAACAAGGCTGCAAGCAACCACTATCAAGTTGGGAGTTACTAGGAAAAAAAAGAACAGAGTTATAGAGCAAGGAAACGGTTGACAGAAGACTTGAAAAGTTGAAGGTTGTATGAGTCAGGAAAACATGAAGATGGGAGAGAGTTCCAAAGGATTGAAGTGCGGGTAAAAAAACTAGATGAATAAAAGTTTTTAGAGCATGCAGAGACAGATACAGTAAACAAATGAGACTTAGCTGAATGACGAGTAAAACGAGAATGAATTTTAGTTGATGGAACTAGAGATGATAACTCCTTTGAGCAGTGACCATGATAGTATTTGTAGAAAAGAGAAAGAGATGCAACTTTACGACGATGGGAAAGAGGTTCAAGCTTAGCAGATAGTCCAGGTCCAACAACATTTACAATGCGTTTTTGGACCTTGTCAAGAAGAGAAAGTGAATCGTTAGAAGAACCAATTGAGTTATTTATATTGAGAATTCGAGTTAAAGCTGTGACTTATAGTAAGTGACTGGGGCCCCGGCCCGGCTAAAAAAGGGACTTTTTGCAAACCTGGTTCCAGTAAAATTATAAGATTTAGCAGGGGTTGATAGGTAGGGCTAGATAAAAATTTATAATGCTTAATATATTATAATTTTATGCTTACATTTACTATTTATTAAATACTGGCATACATTTATATATTTTTTAATCTAATTTACTTCCAAAAAGATTGCAAGCAACCACTATTAAGTAATAAGTTACTTTAAAATAGAGAATTAGTTAAAATACTAGAAAACGTATAGCTAAAGACATAAAAAGTTGTAAGTTAAATAAAAATGGAAAACATGAAGTTTTGTAAGAGTTATAAGGCTTGATCAAGATGATCAAGGTTTGATCAAGATGATCAAGGTTTGATCAAGATGATCAAGGAAAAAAATTGAATTATTTACCATGCTGTAAAAAGATTTTATAGCATGAAGGGACAAACACAGTTAAAGGATGCAACTTGTTGAATAACTAGCCAAGCGAGAACGAGCTTTGGTTTATCGTTATAGAGATGATAGCTCGTTTGAACATTGACTATGATTGTATTTAAAGAAAAAAGAAAGAAATACAACTTTATAACAATGGGAAAGTGGCTCAAGCTTGGCAAATAAAGCAAGTCTAAATACATTTACAATGTGCTTTTAGACTTTGTCTGAGAGTAAGAGGGTTGTTATTTGTCAATATAGGAATGCCAAAAATATTGCAATACTTTTAAGTCCAGAATTTAAATCCAAATCCTGCAAGCCTTAGGCTGTTACAGAAGAAAGATCAAAATTAAAATCAGCTGCTTGTTCTAAGCAATTAAATAGTGAAGATTTTTTGTCAAGACAAGAGTATAAAATTGAGTCATCAGCAAATAGAGCCACTTTAGACTTCATTAAGATCATTACTGTAGATAAGAAATAATACAGGAGCAAATGTAGAACCTTGCAGTACCCTTAAAGTTACTTGAAGTAAAGAAGAGGATAGGCCTTCAAGAACAACTTTACTACTGCAGTAATAAAGAAATAATTTAAAAACCTTAAAACCTTCACATAGAAACTTATAAGAAATTAGAGAACACTTTTTTAAGACTATGATGGAAATCTTGTCTGAAGCACAAACTGCAGAAGTGTTTAATTGAGAATTAATTTTAGTATTGGAAACCAGAGTAATTTCGATGTTTAACAATGTATGGCCGTTATATTCGAGAGTCAAACTAAAGTAAGATTTCTTTGTAAATAGCTCTGATTTATTCTGGGGAAAAGTAAAAAGATCAGACCCATGAATTAGATATTAAATTTTAGTCCTACTTTAGGTAATGACACTGTTGAAAACTAACCAAAAGCCTAGAACCTATCATCTGAGATAAGATACAAGATTTAGTAAACTGAGAATAACAGAGATTTACATCAGACTTTATTTATTTACCCTTTATTTACCCTTATTACATCAGAATTTATTTATGCATTAACTTATTGCAATAATAAAAAGGACATTTGTTCTTAAGAGAGATGTTCTTTTAAAAAAGATGAAAAAAGTAAGTAATGTTGAAAGATGTAGAGTAGAATGAGGCTTGACTTGAAGGCCGAGAAGGCAACTACAGACGAGGAGGCTACTTAATAGTGGTTATAAAATATTAATAGTGGACTTAAAACTGACTTAATAGTGGACTTAAAACTGAAGAGAAATAATATAAGCTTCCAAACTTTTATTCCAGAAGCAATATTATGGATATAAACATATCTGTTTGCTTTTTGTTTAGATGCTGGCATACAAATCCTTTCATTGTTCAATTCATTCAACTTTAGTATTTATATCGTGTAGTATTTGCCGAAATTGAAGATGATCAAATGGATGTGTGGTGTGACTCGAGCAAGACATAAAAAGGAGGCATAATCTTAGACAGATTAGAAAAAACGTTGTTTCAAACAACCTTTTGATGATTATCATGATGATGATCATCATCATCATTATCATCATAATTGTCTTTATAATCGTCAAGCTTCCTGCTTTTATGCTGTTGATGATGATGATAATGATGATAATTATGATGATGGAGATGATGATGATAATGATGATGATTAAGATGATCATGCTGATCACAATGATGTTTATATATGCATATGTATACAAAATATAACATGAATTTTAAATAAAAAAATCATACTTTAGGATGTTTAAATGTTTATGCATCCCCGATCACAAACTCAGCCCCGACTATACTTTATCAAATCTGGCCCCAGCCCAGGTCAAATTTCAACCCCGGTCATTTAAAGTGACTACTATAAAGATTGAATTTTAAAATTTTCATAGCAAGACAAAAATAAAAAAATTATAAAATAATATAATTGCTACTATAACAAAAACAACATATATAAACAGCATATATAAACAACAAGATGCCCAATTACTAAATCTGCAAAAACCCAAAATGGCTTGAAATGGCTGAATCATTTGCCGAGCCCTGGTACCATCAGGAAAATCAGCAAAAATAAAAAAAAGCAATTCTCATTGCATATATATATATATATATATATATATATATATATATATATATATATATATATATATATATATATATATATATATATATATATATATATATATATATATATATATATATATACACATATATATATCACAATTAAAATATTTAAGTTATTATTGCGCTTTGGTAATTAGCTAAATCTGCGCACTTAACACACATTAAAAAAACAACTTTTTTTTAATAGGAAAAAAGATTCTACATATAAACTTTTATTTTCTTCAAAATTAATTAAAAGGGCAAGGATACTCATAAGCTGCAGATGATTTGTAAAACAACTTAATAACAACTTAATAAAACATCTAAAGCTCTAGTTTGGACATAATACAATGATAAAATCATGCTAATTGCAAATAAAAGAAATCAATTAGTTTCTAAATCGCCTTATAGGAATCCCAACCTTCCGAGACATGTTGTGTTCATATTAAAGAGAATAAATAAAAAAATGTTTTAGGCTAAACTTTTTTGATTAAAACAAAAGAATAAATGAAGAAAAACCAAGAAAAACTAACTTTTTAATTTTAGTCGAAGCCTGTTTTCTCCGTTTTATTGTAGTCCTAAGAGTTTTAGTACATGACATTATTGACTTTAGTTTGTTTACATAATCGATCTCTTGCGCATACAAAAAAAAATCAATGAGGTCATTTACTAAAACTCTTAGGAATAAAATGCACTTGAATAAATTATCAAGTCTGTATATTGCGGCATATATTATGCTGACTTTTAGGCCTCCAATAAAACCAAGAAGACGACCTTCAACTAAAATTTAAAAGTTAGTTTTTTTTGGTATTCATTTATTCTTTTGTTTTAATCAAAAAAATTTAGCCCTAACATTTTTTTATCATTCTCTTTAATATGAACACAACATGTCTCGAAGGTTTAGGATCCCTTTAACAACATCAAGAAAGAGCATGTGTTAATGTATAACAACTTAAAGAAACTGTTTTGTTGCATTTAATACTGCTTAAAAATTCATTACAAAAAATGCTTTAAAAAAAAAAGAATCGTTCTAATTAATAAATTAAAACATAATGGTCATAAAACTTTAAACTTTATATTTGCGCAAAAACAAGCCTATAGACCATGAGTCTATAATCTATGGACCAAACAAGTAAGAAAAGAAAAAATTCATTAGATACCATTTTTTTATAATTTATTGTTTCTCGATCTAGCATATTATTAAAAACTTAAGTATAAATAATTTTTTCATTCAAATGGTTTTTAAATAAATATTTTTATTAAGTTTCTTCGTTCAAATTGATTTGTAATAAAAAGAGAAAGAAAACAATTTGGTCTAATAAATCAATTCAAACTTTCTAAAGTTTAAATAAATTAAAAATATTTATATATCTAAAATTTAATAAAATTAATTAAATTATTATTTTATAAAAAAATTTCTTTAAACAGAAGTAAAATAACTTTTTTTTTTAATTTTGGTTTAATGTTTGCAACAATCTCTATTTAATGTTTGCAATAGAATATTTTTACTTTTAAAACTATTTTCAAGAAACAAAAATAAATATTCAAAATGTTTAGGATTTAATTAAAATTTTCTTATTCACTTGCACTACGTTCAAAATCTGTTATTACTGATTAGCTAGATATACGTTCAACTTTCAGGAATGATCTTCGCTATGCCACAGGGTATTATAGACGCCACTGCAATTAAACTTATAATTATTGACCATTAAAATTCTGTTAAATTTTAAATTTTTTTTATTTTCAAATTTCAAATGCAAAATTATTTGAATAGGAGAATTTTAGAACACTAAAATTCTTTTGTTCGAACATACTTTTTTTTTTTTTTTTTTAATTCTAAAAACAAAATGGATATTTATAGAAAATATTTAATCTTGATATTGCTTTAAATAAAATGAAAATATAAAAAAATTATTGCAATTTTCATTTTCTATTCGAAATTTCTTGTTAAAACAATTTTTACTTTGAAGCTTATATTATGTGTTAACACATATAAAATTTAAATAAAAACATTTGTATGACTAACTTTTGCAAGTCTTTGAGTTAATAGTTGAGCAACTGTAAGTTACTTTAGAAAATTAACTGGTTGTTTTAATTTAGTTTATAGATAAATTTAATGGGATGTACTTTATCCATTCAGTAAATGTAACTTAAAAAGATTATTGGCTTCCATGCAGGGATTTAAAATAATTTAAATTCAAAAGCGCTTCATGTTAAATAAAAATCTCTGCAGAAGAGAGCAAAGATCATACTATTCAAATATTCTATACTATTGAAACGCTAAATTTTGTGTGATGTATTTTATGACCCCTAATAAAAAACTAAGACAAAAACATTGAAACAATAATGGCCAAAAAAATGCTAAATTAGAAAAGAAAAAAAAAGTAAATAAAACATTGCAAAAATATTTTCTTTAAGAAAAACACTAATCGCAGAGGTGCGAAAAGCAATTGTGATTGCGATACAATTAATTAAAGCCCTGTACTAATAGATGAAAAAGATGGAATTAAAACCTGAAATGAATTTCAGGAACAGTATATAAGTTACTGAAACAACAGGATTGCGTGATGATATGAAATTTCTATTTCATTCAACTTGGGCATTCCGATTTTTTGAAGATCCTGGAGTATTTCCTAAATGGAATTTTTAGAAAAAACTTAAATAATGCAAGATGGATTTCCCAAGCAATACTAGCTCTTTTGGCATTTATTCTTCTACCAGAGTCTTCTACCAAAATCACTAATCATTATTTGTAGATTCTCATTGATCTCTTACAGATAGTCAGACCATTGGTTTATTGACCAAATGTACAATGCAAATGATTACTGGAAGCTATGTGGCAGCTTGCAGGGTCATAAAAAAGCATTAAACTCAGTGAAAGAGTTTTGGAATCAGGACCCATCGAGACTGGAAATAACTAAAAGAAATTAATGTGCAAAACAAGCAATCAAGTGTCTTTGACATCTGTGAAAAGAAAGAAAACCTCCAGCTTAGATTTATGTTTTCTAACAAAGCATAACTATTCTATATTATACTTTAATTAAGCTGAATACAGCACAAGATTTATTTGATATATAATGCAGCTTTTTTTATTTGTAAATTTGTAATTTTATATTTATTTGTAATTTAGAGTGTTATGATGTAACAATAAACTGTTAAATGTTTAAAACTACATAATAACTCTTCAATTAAAAAAATTAGAATTAAAAAATAATGGTCATAAAACTGTTTGAAATTTTATTCATATGTATATATGGTCAATTCAAATTTTTGGTTTGTGGCTTTTTCAACAAGCAATTCAAATGTTTTTCTCATTACTTTTGTGCAAATATTTTTTGATTTATGACCCAGGAACATGGGGTCACAAAAAAGTCATAACCCTGATATATATATATATATATATATTATATATATATATATATATATATATATGTGTGTGTATATATACATATATATATATATATATATATATATATATATATATATATATATATATATATATATATATATATATATATATATATATATATATATATATATATATATATATATATATATATATATATATATATATATATATATATATATATATATATATATATTGTTGTTGTATGATTTAGTATTAAAAAAACTAAACTCAGATCGTTGTAGAGTGCTCAATATTTAAGAAATATTTAGTTTTTCAAAAACAGAGCGTTTTATACTCTACATTTTTAGTGTATACTGCAAGCCTGATAATAAGCTAAGTTATGCACATGCTGATTCTAACCATCCACCTAACATAATAAACAATCTTCCAAAAAATATTGAGCTAAGATTGTCTGCCAACTCATCAAGTGAAGTTATTTTTAATAAGTCACACATCTTTATGAAGACGCACTAAAGCAATTGGGATACGATTATAAGTTGGCATATAAACCAAGCATAACAAATGTTCCAAAAAATCGCCACAAATGAAGTATAATCTGGTACAATCCTTCATTCAGTAAAAATGTTACAACCAAAATTGGTCAACGCTTTTTAACCCTAATTGACAAGCATTTTCCTAAAGACCACAACCTACACAAAATATTTAACAGAAACACAATTAAAATAAGCTACTCCTGCATGCCAAACATTAAATTTATCATCAACTCACACAACAAAAATATTTTATATGGCGATGTAAAGTTATCAGAAAAAGCCTGCAATTGCATTAAAAAATCTCTTTGTCCACTGAACAACAATTGCTTGTCTAACTAACGGTTTTTTATATTTTTGATTTTGTACTTCATGGTTGATGATTGCCGATAGGCATGAAACTTTAATTCCATTAAAAGTTGTTTTTTCTATATTTATATATTTTTTTTATATATATATAAGGCAGAGCTGCGTAACTCTTCTGATTAAGAAGAGTTACACAGTTCGCATTTTACATCAGAAATGGCTATTTGCCAATGTGAAACTTTTTCCTTATCATATCAGGCCTCAGCAGAAGTAAATAAGTGTAAGAGCGGAGAAAAGCTCTCCTAAAAAGAATATGGTGAGCCATGCGTGCAGCTCCTTTAAAAAGCTTTTTACTGGAGTTTTCGCAAAACATCTTTTAATTCATTAAATAAATTACTGATTAAATACAAAATTTAATTTTATACTTAAATTTTTAAAAAAATTTAATTTAAACGTATACAAGAATATTATCAATGTATTTTCTTTAAGAAACTAATTTTTTATTTAAGAAACCAATCAGTTAGTCCTATCTAATTAAAAACATTTGCGTTATAATCAGTGCTCTTTTTGAATTTTTTATATTTTTTATGTAATAACTGTGCCTTAACAAAGCCTTGCAGTTTATTATGCAATTATTATTTATTTTTAAAATGATTTTTATATTTTTGTTACAACAATATTGTTTTTTATTTTTTTATTTTAAGTGCTTTTATTTTTTAACCAATTTTGCTAACTTGACCCTAATATAATTAATGTTATATTACACAGTATTTAACACAAAAAATTTTAGAAAAAATTCCCTCTGCACTGCATATCTGTGTTTGAAAAGAATTTTTTTTTTTTTAAATTAATTCTACTGCAACTTTATAGTATAATTGTGTAATATTTATATTCACATTTATAATACTAAACTCTGCCAAAAACAAAATTGTTGTAGCATAAAATAACTTATATTAATATATTGACAAGTTTTAAGCCATTTGTAGAATTAAAATATAATCTCAAGCACTTCAAAAAAGTCAGTAATTGTTATGCAAAATAAATAAACGATCACATTTTGTAAGCAAAAAAATCAATCTGAAAATCAAACTTTGTCTTTTTTATTATATGTAGTTAGCATAAGTTTTTTTTAATTTCTTTAATCAATATCTGAAAAAATAAATAAAATAAAAGTGGTTTATGAACTATAATTTAGCAAGAGCCATATTTTGTTCTCATTTCTATCCATCATATATTAAAATATATGAAAACAAATAAAAAACATTTTTTTTATTTAAAAAAAGGGAGAAGTGTTTTTGTTTAAGTAAATTCTTTTCACAAATTTTTTTAAAAAATTTTTTGTTTTTATCAAGTTTATATCAATTCGATAAGGTATAAAGTTTATTTGACAATTATTTATAAACATAAATTATAATAATAATAATAAGTGGGAACTGTAACAACTGAGAACAAATGTGGAGTACAATAACATAAGATATTGTACTATAACAGCTAATATTAGTTTTTGAATAATTATAGTGTTTTATCTCTACACAATTTGTTGAGGTAATTCTTGAATTTGTCAATTGAGTCAGCGTCTACAATTTCATTAGTCAAGTTATTCTGTGGATTAGTTACTCTGTTGAAAAAAAAGTTAAATCTACACTTGCTTTTACAAAAAAATTTATTCAAAGTGTATTTGTGCTGACATAGGTTTAGAGCATGTTTAAAACTTTCATTTTTGTGAACACAATTTATAATATCTTGATTGTGCTAGATTTTGTATAGTTGGATTAAATCACTTCGCAGCCTACATTCATGTAAGGTTGTCAAATTCATCATTTTTAATTGTTTTTTGTAAGAAGATTTTTTGAGTGATGGTATGAGTTTGGTTGCTCTTCCTTGAATCTTTTCGATTTTATCAAGATTATCTATTCAAATATCTTATTAGTACAAATAAAAACTTTTATTGATAAAAATGAAAATTGTGTGGAGATTATTTTTTGTGTGCAGGCCAAATTGTCAAAACAAAATACTGTGGTTATGATCATGTAAGACCTGAGAAGGCTTGATATATATATATATATATATATATATATATATATATATATATATATATATATATATATATATATATATATATATATATATATATATATATATATATATATATATATATATATATATATATAGACACACACACAAATAATATATACACTAATAATATAAACCAAACAAAAATCTCTAAAGCATTAGTGAAACTGTAATTCATTGAATGCAGCAAACATTTTTTTTTAATTGAAATTGAAAATTCTTACATACCTTCGCCACCCTCTGTCTATTAACTCCATGTAACCTTGACACTGCAGATAATGAGCCCACATACCTGTATAAAATTTATTTATTGTTTATTTACACAAAAATTAAATAATAATATGTATATTTATAACTACTTTTATAGTAAGTAAAATAAAATTAAAAACTAAAATTAAATTAAAATTTTGTAATTTAAAATTGAATTTATTTAAAAAAATAAGTGAAGCAAATGTATATATGCTTTATTATTCAAGTGGTTCTAAAAAATCTCTTTTTCTTTAAATAGTGTTCTTCTAACCCTAATGCTCCATTTAATAAAATGATACTGGATTTCTAAATGCTTATAAAATAATTTTCTTTAAATTTTTGATACGTCTAAATATCATAAAAAATTATTTGACACACATTATTTCAAAAGTGTGTCAAAAAAAGTAAATTTAAGTATTAAAAAGCAAAAAAAGCAAAATTAAATTGAAGTAGTTATTTCTTAAATTTAAAAATTTAAGAATTAACTACTTCAAATAAAAATGATATTTTTTGACAAAAAAATTTGAAAAATTTGAAAAAAACTTTAATGAACTTCATTTTTTATATAAATGACTATTGCATTTTAAAATTTTATATAACTTCACTAGATTTTATACACAGAAATACAGTGAACTTATATGAAACAAAATTAAAACTCGAAACACTAGGCAAAAATTTTTTCATTAATAATAGTGATTTTGTTTGTTAGTGCCCAGATGTTTTCTTATATTGATTGTGTCTGGTTTAGAGCCTGCTAGTCTGTTTATTAAAACATAGAACTTATGAGATTTCAGAACTGATGGCTACTAACCTTTGATTCACAAAAACTTGTAAGTAATCTAAAATAGACTTTTTTTTAATGTTATTCACCTCCCCAAGGCCTAGAGGGTCATTACAGTCAAGGAGGCTACTTTTAGTTGTGGTTACAACCCTCTTAACTCTATTTCTCAAACTCTGAAACATGATCCTTGACAAATAAGGTCACTGGGCGAAAAACAAGTTGAGCACGATACTACCAGGGACGTGGTGGGGATCAAACTAAGAACTACTCGCTTATGAAGCAAGCGCTCTACCAATACACTATTACCGCATAAATTTAAGTTTTGTAGTGGCATATGAACTTTAATAAAATTCAGTTAATTACTGTAAAGAATCATTTGCATGTCGACATTCCTATATTAATGAATGGCAACCCTTTTATTGAATATTGATTTGTTTTTAAAATTCACCAGACATGTAAGATTCTATGTAAATCCAGTTTAAGTTTGGCTGTTCCTTCTATAGATACCAGCATTGATGGTTACTAATCTTTGATTTGAAAAGACTCCAATAGTCATATGATTTGCAAAGACTCCAATAGTTATGTTTTTTAAGTTGGAGTCAACTCCAACTTAAAAAACTGCCTGTCTTGGGGCTCTTGTTTGACTAAAGGTTAGAAATGGTGCCTTGATAAAAATACTCATCTTGGGCAGATGTTAAATGCATCCAGCTATAGTGGATTTGATAAAATATAGCCGGGGCCAGGTTTGTGACAGGGGCTGGATAAACATTTATACATCCTAAAGTCTATTTTTTATATTTTGTTATATTTTGTATATATATATATATATATATATATATATATATATATATATATATATATATATATATATATATATATATATATATATATATATATATATATATATATAAACATCATTATGATCAACATGATCATCATAATCATCATTTCCATCATCATCATCTCTTTCGGCAAATACTACACATAGTGTAGTGATGATGATAATGATGATAATGATAATGGTGATGACGATGATGATGATGATGATGATGATGATGATGATGATGATGATGATGATGATGATGATGATAATGATGATGATGATGATGATGATGATGATGATGATGATGATGATGATGATGATGATGATGACAATAATGATGATAATGATCATGACAATGATGATGATAATGATGATGATGATGATGATGATGATGATGATGATGATGATGATGATGATGATGATGATAATGATGATGATGACAATAATGATGATGATGATGATGATGATGATAATGATGATGATGATCATGACAATGATGATGATGATGATGATGATGATGATGATGATGATGATGATGATGATGATGATAATGATGATGATGATGATGATGATGATGATGATGATGATGATGATGATGATGATGATGATGATGATGATGATGATGATGATGATGATGATGATGGTAATGATAAATACTAAAGTTTATATAAATATGAAAGGACATTGTATGACAGCATCTAAATAAATAGCAAACATAAATGTTTATGTATATAACATGTATGCATAGAGTGCATTTCAGAAACTTTAATTCTTCTGGACTAAAAGTTTGGAAGCTTTAATTCCTACTTTTCAATTTTAAGTAAAACCACATTCTACTCAGTGTTTTTCACCATCCAGAGTAGTTGCTTTATTGATCATTTATCTTTTTTACAAAAACACATCTCTAAAAAACAAATGTACTTTTATTATTCCAAGAAGCCAATGTAAAACAGTCCTGCCTGATGTCAAGCTGTTATTCTCAGTTTATTAAATCTTTTATCTTATATCAGATGTTAGGTTCTAGAGACTTTTAGTTAGTCCTCAACAATGTCATTAACTAAAATAAGATTAACATTTAATCTTATTAATTATATAATGTTTAATAATATTTAATTTTTAAATTTTTTAAAAGTGCTAAATAAGTGGTTCCGATTTTTCAAAACTCTAGAAAACACTTTGACCTTTCCAACTATCAGCAACTCTTGGAAAGAGGTTGGAAAATTTTTTTTTATCGTTTTCATGTTTTATGGTCAGACCTTTGTATCAAATAATTTTTGCCGACATGATGCCGACCTTAAAAAGATTGAGGTCGGCAATAATTTGCCAACCTCATTTTTCCTAATTCCGAAAGTTGTATCATATGATTAGTCTTTACTCTATTATTAGTTCTTTATATAAAAGTTTAGAGATTAATAAATTATTTCTTACTAACTGCAGTATTTAAGTTATTCTCGAAGGCCTACACTCTTCTTTATTTCAAGTAACTTTAACACAAGCAGAGATTTTAGGGTACCACAAGGTATCTTGTGGTACCTTTAAATCTTTGCTTGTGTATTGTTTTTTATCTATAATATCAATCTTCATGAAAATTTAACATATAAAGTGGCTCTATTTGTTGACATCTTAACTTCATACTTTTGTCTTGACAAAAAAATCTTCACCTTTTGATTGCTTAGAACAAGCAGCTGATTTTTAATCTTATCTCTCTTCTGTTACAGCCTAAGTATTGCTGTGGCTTATGGATTTAAATTCTGAACTTAAGATCTGCAATTTTAGTTAGACAACAAAACGCATTTATTTACTGCAAAAAAAATATTGCAACAATGTCGGTATTCCTATATTGATGAATAACAACTATCTTACTCTCAGACAATTTTTAAAAATACTTTTAAAAAATAAAGTTTACCCCCTGAAATTTTTAAAAATAAAAAATCATTATTTTTTTTTATTCAATAACCATTTATAAACAATAATTATTTGAAAACAAATTTCAAAAATAATTAATATATATATATATATTTTTTTTTTTTCACTAAATAATATTGAAATAAAATTAATATTAAAATAACAATTCAAAACATAACAAATTTTTCATAATATATTTACATTTAAAACGCTTATTGTTATTTGAGTTGTTAAATTGAACTAGTTAGCGGTTAGTTATTTATTGCAGTTGTTAGAACATTTAATGTCTATAAAAAAATAAAGATAATTTTATGACGTCAAATATGGCATGAAGCTAATGCATTAAGCACTTTTTTATTTAAAACAAGGCCTGTGAGTCATCTACTCTTCATATTCTAAGATTAACTCTTACTTCCAATATTACTTGGAAGCTATATATCAAATCCATTGCAAAATCTCTATAAATCTCTAATCTATCCTTGTATGGAATATTGTTGCCATATCAGGGGCGGAACTTCCAATGATGCCCTTTCTTTTTAAGACAAGTTGTAAAAATCCATTGCTAATATAATTGGACCTGCTAATGCAGCCAATCTCTAACCATTATTATATTGTCATGTTGCTTCTCTTTTTCTTTTCTACAAATACCAAATTGGGCACTGGTCTAAAGAGCTAGCTTCTCTTATAAAATTTGTTATTGTGTTACTAGCCATTCAATTAAGTCTCATTCTTTTTCTGTGACTGTTCCTAAGTGCTCCAAAAACTCTTATTCGTCTAGTTTTTTTCCTTGAACATCAGTTCTTTGAAATTCGCTTCCTTTATCTTGCTTTCTTGATTAACATTAAATATATATATATATATATATATATATATATATATATATATATATATATATATATATATATATATATATATATATATATATATATATATATACTTATATCTGTGTGTGAATGCAGCATTAGATATGTACTATCCCTAACCCTAACCCTGACAAAATCCAGATTTAGATGACTTAAACCATCAAGTCAATTTAAGAGCTGATTTTTACTATTAACAACATACTACAGATATATATAAAAGTATACAAACACACATACACACACACACAAACACTCACATAGAATTTAAAAACTAATTTTTTAAACATTACCATGACTCAAACTTCCATTTAACTTCTTGCAATATCCACAAGAATGTCCTGTTTGGTCGCTTCCAAAATATTCAACTAAACTTTTATTCATAACTTTGCGCATGAACCTAATAAAAAAACCTATTTTGGAAATAAATTTTATTGAATTTACAAACTTAAATACACTGTGGAAAATTTTGATTACAGTATATATATATTTAACATCTTCAACATATTCAGTATTTTGATTTTTCGAAAAAAGTTTAGAAGAAAAATACCATACCAATAGGTTTTGGGCTTTAGTGGGCTTTATTACATACATTAACCAAGGATTTGGGCAAAAAAGTATTTACATTTAAATTATACACATAAAAATAGACATCATTAACATGTAAATTTTGTTAACATTAACTGTCTTTGAATTTTTGAATTGCAAACATTATTCCAGACATCTTATTGTGGAAAAAGGGTCTGGATTAAAATATTTTTATTTGAGTTATATTGAATTTTTTGTTATTGTTGCTAATTATTCATTTTAACTTAGTCTCAAATAATGCATTTAGGTCTTGGAGCTGATAAAAAATTAGATAGTGTAATGATGGTACCAGGTTATTTGATTAAATTCTTCGGCTGATTTAAAATTTCCTTTTTTTTATGCTAGAGTTGAGTAAAAAAAGTTTAATAATTTAGATTTCTTATTTATTATATATTTGCTGTTTTTTTTCTGTACTGCTTAACTTAAGTCCTTTGTTTAAAAAAATTTCCAAACAGAAATTTATTTAAAACTGCTGGTAGTATTACTTTAGTGTTCTTTTTTTTTTTTTTTTTTTTTTTTTTGTAGTATTATATATAATATAATACTTTACAACTAGTAAAGTATTATATTTTATATAATATTATATATAGGTATATTATACAATTTTTGTATGTAGAATATATTATAAAATTTTATAACAATTTTTAATAAATGTTCATTAATTGAATACTCCTCTAGTATAATGCATTACTGAAACTTTAATACAGACTCATTTTACAATGCAACATAGTAACAACCAATAATTTTAATGTTTTGAAAATGGCTGCGAGTCTATCTATTGAACACACGAAGGTAAAAATGGCGGTATACGTTCACAGCCGTAAAAAAAAATTATAATCTTTACTTAAAAACAAAAAAATAAAATAAAATACTTAAAATAAAACTTAAAATAAATATTTCGAAACAACTTTTTTAGAATAAATTTTATAAAAAATCTCAAACAATTTATTTTGAAATGATTGAAACTTTGATTTAATTTTTTTCTAACCGGAAGTCACGCATATATAGCGTACCACATCAAGAACTTTTAAATGAACAGTTTAAAATAAATATAGGAGTCAAAGTAGGACAATGGTTTTCTAATTATCTCTAATATAGAATACAAATGGTTAAGAATGGTAAAAAATTTAGTTCATGGAAACCAATTACTAAGAGTGTCCCACAAGGAGGTGGACTCAGCCCAGAATTATTCAACTCTTACACAATAGAACTCCCAACTTCTTCAAAATCAGAAGTATATTAGTTTGCTGACGATATAAACACATCTGAAGCTAACCTATCACTTCAAGTAATTGCAGAAAAATTAAAAAAATCGTTCCATGATACAAAAGATTATTGTGAAAAATGAAATTGACGGTAAACACAAAAAAAGACCCAATTAATTATTTTCAAACCACCCAGGAAGCAAATACCTGCTGACTACCAAATTCTTTTAGATGAAATAACAATAAGACCTGAAAACAATGTAAAATTATTAGGAATAACATTTAACCAGCATCTAACCTTTAAACAGCAGATCGAGTCGGTAATAAAATAAAGACATTCTACTTAGAAAATTTTTGCGTATCAGCAAGCCTACCAAAAAAGTTATTTAAGTTGGCCTACAATAAATGGTGTTTATATGAAATTTATGAGGTCACTCTATATTTTAATACCAAACACCCATATAAAAAAATTAGACGTAGTACAAAAACAAGCCGCGAGAATCATTTCTCAGGCACCTAAAATTTCCATGCTGTACCATTAATTAAAGAACTTGGTCTTAAAGCACTAGCGGATCGAAGAACAGATCATGCAATTAAAATAATTGAATCGGTTGTTAAATGAAAATGCCATCCTGCTTTAAACAAAGTTATCCAAGTAAAAAATGAAGGTCTTTTAAAAATAACAGTACCAAATAATACATATGGTAAAAAAAGATTTTGCGTCTATGGAGCCATTTTGTACAATAAAGAATTACAAAAATAGAGAGAAAAAGACAAAAATTAAAAAAAATATAAAATAACATAAAAACAAAAAAATATAAAACAACAAAAATAAAAAGATACGAAGTTAAATTATATATATATGTGTGTGTATATATATATATATATATATATATATATATATATATATATATATATATATATATATATATATATATATATATATATATATATATATATATATATATATATATATATATATATATATATATATATATATATATATATATTGTTGTTTTGATTATTTGATAATAATCAACTCTTTTTCGCTTTGAGAGTGATCAATATAAAGTGAAATAATCACGAAATAGATCAATAAATAAATAAATAAAAGGTTAGATGAGAAAAAACAACTTTTTTACGGTACTTAAAGTTTCATGCCGTTTTCGGCACTCATCAGCCATATATTTAAATCAAGAAAAAACCGTTCAAAAATACAATTAAAAAACCGTTACAAAATTCAAAAAAAACAATGGAATGAGTTCTGACGTCAAATAATTATAATACAAATAATAGCAATAATAATAATGATTATAATAATAATAATATAATAATAACAATAATAATAATAATAATAATAATAATAATAATAATAATAATAATAATAATAATAGTAGCAATAATATTAATAACAATAATAATAGCAATAATAATAATATTATGGAAAAAACATATTTTCTAATCGCCAGTGTCAAATTGAGAAAGGAGGAATCTGTTTTTATGTCTGCACTTAGAAACAATCTCACTCCTTTTATTTAGCAGATTGGTATTTTTATAATTTAGGATTTCATATTTTTCAGTGAGACATAATTTACAAGATTTGGATGTAGGATTATATGCTTTACATCGCCTGAGAATTTTCCACTTAACTACAGGAACTAAATTGGCTTCTTTTATTTTCCATACCTGCTTTGACAGCTCAGTATCATTTTCGTATTTTGGGATGTTAAAAGATTTAACGTGGTTAGCGTATCTCAATTTAAAAGAAGTTTCACTTACACCGATGTAGGATTTTTCGTTAGGAGATGAATCACTAGTGGTGGTTACAGTTGCTTGATATACAATGTTGCTTGTAAAACATCTATTGGACAACGGGCAGAAATTTTTATCTAAGCAGTTACAGTTTTCTTGATTAGAGTTTGCATCGTTGTATAAAATGTACTTGTTGTGCGAATTTATGATCGATTTCACACTTGGCATACAACTGTAGCTAACTTTGACTGTGTTCCTGTTAAAGATTTTATGTAGTTTGTTATTATTAGGAAAATGTTTGCCAATTAATTTCAAAAAACATTTTCCTACGTTGGTGCTAACATTTTAGCTAAATGGAGGATTAAACCAAATGATGTTGCGTGCTCTGTTCCGTTTTTTAGTTGATATTGCTTTAGGATTGTATGTTAGATTACATTTAAAACCAGACTTTAATAAAGCCTCATTATATAGAGGAACAGCCTGTTGAAATATTTCTTTGGTAGAAGAATTTGTAGATAATCTAAGTTCAACCGAGTGTGGTATTTGTTTTAGTATACTTGGAGGGTGATTTGAATCAGCATGGATATAATTTAATGTATTATCAGGTTTGAGATAAGGTTTAAAGGTGCACTCACTAAGATTTAGAGTGACGTCGAGGTAGTTGACAATTTTCATGTTGCATTGTATAGAAATCCGTAAGCCATTGTATTTAAATATTTCGAAAAGATGCTTTTTTATTTTTTCCATTTGAGGGCCGCTTTTATTCCTAAAAACTGCTAATCCATCATCACGGTATAAACCAACCTCAAACTTGTTATAAAATTTTGAAATTTCGAAAAGAAGAAATATTCCTACAAGCTCACAAACCTCCGCGCCGTCAAAAGCTCCCATGGAAACATCAAATAAACCACTTGATTGCTTTATCCAAACCTGATTATTATTGAAAAGCACAGACTTTCTTGCATGAAAAATTAACGATATATTCTCTTTATTTAGTGTTAAGTGTTGCTCTGCAAATTTGATAAAGTATATTTAGAAGTGTTTCACTAATAGAAGGATAGAAGTCAATGATATCAAAAATTAAAAATTTATAAAGGTGTTTGTCTTTTATGGCTTTAAACCAATCGATAACATTTCGAGTGTTTTTCCATTGGTTTAATTGTAATATACTTCTTAGGTCTGTATTAATTTTAGAAAGAATATCCTTGCTAATTCTTCCAACCTCAGTTTTAGCAGGATTTAATAAACGGACAGTCGGATTGTTTTCAAAGTTATCTTTATGGTCTTTTAAGGTGATAAAACAATTGGAAGCTGTATTAATATCAATTTTATCGAAAACTTCATGATTTTTCAAAAGACGTTTACCTTCTATGTTTACTTTATTTATTACATTTGAGTTAGATAATTTGTAATTTGAAGTGATGGCATTTCTTAACAAGTGGTTGTAATCATTTTTAGATAATTTGTAAAGATTAGATGTTTTATCAGCATACGTATAAGTTTGATTAGATTTTCGAATAATGTTTATATCTTGTTTTAGTTTATTTTGAAAATTGCTTTGTACCTTTCGAAATTTAATGTGTTTTACAAGATCAATGAGTTCGTTCTCAAAAGCTAGCATTTCTGTAATTTGTTTTGGATGATTAGATGTTTTTAATCCGTAGTTATAATAAAAATTGTTTTTACTATTTGAACTCTTGTTTAAAAAGAAAAACGCTTTCCATCGCATTCTTTTGATTAAAGTTTCAGTTTTATCCAATAATTGCATTTTGAAGTCTTTAATGGGTGGTATCGGAATGTTCTTGACTGAATATCCAAAGTTTATTTTTTCCATCACATATGTGACTTGAGTAGAGTGCTCAACGTATGGAGCAAAAATATTGTTGTTTTGATTATTTGATAATAATCAACTCTTTTTCGATTTGAGAGTGATCAATATAAAGTGAAATAATCACAAAATAGATCAATAAATAAATAAATAAAAGGTTAGATGAGAAAAAACAACTTTTTTACGGTACTTAAAGTTTCATGCCGTTTTCGGCACTCATCAGCCATATATTTAAATCAAGAAAAAACCGTTCAAAAATACAATTAAAAAACCGTTACAAAATTCAAAAAAAACAATGGAATGAGTTCTGACGTCAAATAATTATAATACAAATAATAGCAATAATAATAATGATTATAATAATAATAATATAATAATAACAATAATAATAATAATAATAATAATAATAATAATAATAACAATAACATTATATATACCAAAGAAATATTTATATATAAACATATTAATATTATATATAAACATATAAATATTTATATATAAATATATATAAACATTATATATACCAAAGAAATATTTCAACAGGCTGTTCCTCTATATAATGAGGCTTTATTAAAGTATATATATATATATATATATATATATATATATATATATATATATATATATATATATATATATATATATTTAAACTTCGAGCAGCGGAAGAAAGACCGTATACTAAAGTGAAATAAAATAAACTACAAAGAAGTGCAAAAAAAAAAACTATAAAGGACCAGATAATAGAACATTCTCCAAAAGCATAGCTATCTAACTGTCATCGAAAGAAAATAAAAAATTTACTACTACTACTACTACTACTACTACTACTACTACTACTACTACTACTACTACTACTACTACTACTACTCATGATTTGTAACAGTATGGAAAAAGATAAAAACTATTTTTATTCATTAATATCTTTTTTTCTCTCGATAACTTCACTTATGATATAAAGCTAGCAAAAAATTTTTTTAAAGAAAAGTGTTTCGATAGTCGAAAATTCCGTGCTCAAGTTTAAGTCATAAGTATAACAACTTTGGTTTATTGATTTAAAATTTTTAATTTAATGTTTATTTGTTTATTTTATAATTTAGTATAATTTTTTAAGATTATACTAAATCATAAAATTGGTTTTGACTTTTTTTACAAGTTGACGATTGTGCCCCTCCCCCCTCACTTCGAAATTCGTGTCGTCGACCCTGCACGGTCTTTTAGATATTAGGAAAAAGCGTTATGTTTAGGTACGCATGCGCAATTTTTTAGTTAAAACTTTAGAGCTTTTAAAATGTTTGTTTTTTTTCTTAATATTCAGAATTTTTATCATCTAGATCTTTGTAATTTAATTGAAATAGTTTAAATTCAATACTGCGCATTTTTTTAGATAGTCTTGAAGTTTTATTGAGTTTTTTTCTCTCGAAGACCTTGTTAGTTTAAATTGAATTGCATTACCCGTTTATAAAACTTATGTAATTTTTTTTACTTAACAAAATATAATTATGCGAAGTATCAATTTTGTGCTTAAGCTCCACTTTTAGCGCCAAAAAGGTATTTATATGGCGTTCATGTAACTATTTTTATCAATAATAAAAACGACAAGAAAACAAGTTTGTTTTAGTATTATAGTATAATAATGTCTTAAATATATTAAATATTAAGATAAACATATTGTTTTTAAACTTTATTTAAAAAATTTAAACTTCGCTTTTACTTATTTAAAGGCGGTTAAATCAAACGCAGTATGATATTTACGGGCTATTATTTAATTTAAAAATTCCACGGGCTGCGTCATTAAAATTCGATCAATTCAAAGAAAATTTCTTGAGTTCTAAAGGTTATTATTTATCTACTTTTCAAAAAGGCACTCCTTCTTTGGCATACAACTTTTATAAAGCTAGAACTTTTTAATCTTTTATATATATATAATATATATATATATATATATATATATATATATATATATATATATATATATATATATATATATATATATATATTACAATTTTTATAGAAATAACGAATCATGAATAAATAATCGGAAAACTCGAGTAGGACCAGGATGCTCGATGAGATCTCAGCCTCTAAAAAAACACATTTGCTTTTCGGTGTCCACGGCGTTTGCAGTAATCAATCGAACATACTTTGACTTACTTTGTAAAACAAATTATTTTTTCAATGAGAGTTTATTCACTCTATAAAAAAAAAAATAATTAGCTACACCAACTTTCCCCATTTTGATATAATTAAACTGTTTTTTAAGCTTCTTTTCATTATTGTAATCTCATCTTTTGACTTCTTGAAAAAACTTTTACATAATTGAAATATCAGTAGAATTCAATAATGCGACATTTCTTAGATTAGGCGCTTTTTCGAAGTTAATTTGCTCATTCGCATTTTATAATATCCATTTTGCGATCGTTTTAAATAAGTAATAATTTTAAATTTAATAATATAACAATAAAACTGTTAAAGATTATAACTTATTTGATAAGTTTGTCTAACAGTTTGCATTTTAATTTTGTCAATTTCAAATTAATGAATGAAATTTTATTTTAAAGAATTGAAAATCACGCCGGACAAAATGTCCGATGACTTTGTAAATTATTCGGACATTATGAGGTTTTAGCCGGACAATGTCCGATGTGCGACTGTTAAATTAAGCCCAATGAGCCCAACACTTTAATAACAGTATCTCTCAAAAATAGGCATAAAGACCGGTTTTAGTAATAAAGTTCAGTAATTTAAAGTGAAGAGGTAATCTCCCAGTGGGCACGGAAGTTAAAAAGACGTCTTTTAAACGTTTAAAATACGTCCAAAACAGTCAAAAGACGTTCAGAAAACGTCTAAAACGTGTATAAGACGTTTAAAAGACGTCCTTTTTTACTTCCGTGCCCACTGGGCTACTCCATGATTTTATGCATTGGTTTGTGAATTATTGCCGTACATAACTAAATAATGATTGAGGTTATATAATTTAAGGTTACTAAACGACGGAAGATAATAACAAGAACTTTTTATAGCAGTAAAGAAAAAACAGATTGAGAAAGGTAGGGTAACTTGTGTCTGATTCCAGACAAATAGACAATTTAATAGATAAACAAGAGCACACAATTTGATGATAATGGATAGAAGGTAAAGGATATTAATCTTTAGAACAATATTCTTGAAAGTATATTTTTTTAAATGTTTTGATTAGATATTTTAAAAAAACTATTGGTTGATAAGTAGTGCATAGAATATTATATTAGTATACATATTAAAGTGTTTGTAGTATGTTTGAGAAATGAAATTTATATTAGATAAAAGAAATATGCTTTTTAATATTACTATATATTTATCTTTAGAAAAGTATATTGCTAATTTAATACAGTTTTATTGTGCTAATTGGTCATATGGTTTATTGTTATCAAAGTTACACATGTTAGAAGATCGTGTTATTCGATTTATAAAAAAATAGGGATTTCGATAAAGAAATAGGTTTGGGTACTACAAACAAGGAGGCAGATTCATTTATCACGAGTTAAAAGAAAAAAGTCTTCTTAAATCACACAATCAAAATCTAACCCTATAAACAGAAAGCTAAAACCAACCTTGAGAAAAAGAATATATTGCAACTTTAAATTTTTAAAAAAGAAAGTCTAAATAATGTAAAAATTTATATATAAGAGATATAAGATATAAGAGATATATAAAATATTTTACAAAAAAACCCAAAAAAACAGAGAAGCAAAATACTGCAAAATATATGAAAACTACTAAATACATTTTTTTCTTTGTTGGTTATATTTCATACTACCAGATAATTCTTTTTTTCCTTTTACCCACCCCTGTTTATTAAATAATTAGATTTATCTTGGCCTTATTTCCAAATATTTCAAAAAATTGATAAGTATATAGTTCACTTTCTTGATTTAATGAGTAGCTCCTTAACAGTCGTAAACTTATTGCTTGTTATTTAACAATTTTTAAACAAATTGTGTGCCTTTAATTTTAGGGTTGTAAATCTTACACCAGTTATTAAAAACCCTGGGGAAAGAACTTTGAAATCTTATTTAATTGAAAACTTTGTTATTTTGAATACTTTAAATTTTTTATTTCGTAGCACTTAAAAAGAAGTTAAGGGATCGTCCATAAAATACGAACGCTCGGAGAGAAAGGGGAGTCTGCAAATGTAAAAATATGAGATGGGGAGGGGGGAAGAGGGCAGTAGGTCAAATATTAAAGTTTGGAGACACTAAATTAAAAAAATTATTATAAATGGTGGGTTGGTAGGTTAAAAGTGTATGTACTATTAGGGAGGTATAGGATTATACATTTCTCACTTGTTCTCCAAGGCACTTACTAAGGAGTACTATACTAAATCCGCCACAAATACAACTTCTTCTTATGGGTATCCATAATATATATATGCAACAAAACAACTGGTTTCGCACCCCCGTTTCCTATTGCACGTTAATTTTATGACATATAACGTTTCTTTAGGTACTTTGAAAGTTTAACTTCGTTGTATCCGCCCTTAACGTAATTGTTAAGGCCTTCATAATGTGTAACGTCTAGGGCTATACAAATAGCTATTTTTTTGTGTGATCTAATTCCGTTGTGGTAAAAATTGATATTGAATTTTAATTAAATTTAATTCCTTATCAATCAGTAAACTTTTAGCAAAAACTCAGATATATTTTGTTTACAAATGTCACGTCACATAAGAAATAGGAGGCTGGGGTGTTACAAAAATCTCAAAATCGTTTTGGGGAGGGAGATATCAAAAAAGAGCAAAAAAAGTTTCACATTACTTGAGCAGCCTTATAACAACAAAAATCAATTTCCTAGATTTAATTTTAAAACATTAAAAACAAACAGGATCTAAAGTTTTTGTTAATTCAACATTTTTCTGTATTTAAGGTTTTAAAGGGCATGAAAAAAGACATGCACAAAAGTTAAACTCGTCATTTGTAGTTAACATTAATAGTTCAATTAAAGAGCTAAAAATATTTGATAGCATAATTTTAATATATTATAATATACACTAATAAAATCTCTAAATTTACAGAAAACATGTTTAAATCTGTACATTGGCTCAAAAGCCAGGTTTGCTAGATTGTGGAGCTTTGTATCCCATGGGAGGGAAATAAGTTTATATAAAATCTATTAATTATACTTTTAATAACAACAAAATCAGCGATAAATTTTATTTATCTCTCAGTATTACATAAAAATTTAAAAAGTTGTATCATACTGATTGAACTTTTGATTTAATTATCAATCGAATTTCTGATATTCATCGATATAATCATTCTGTAGATTATTAGCATATACCATTTATACATAAAGTTTGTTTACTTTATACAACCATAGTTTTTAAATCTTACAGTTTTTAAGCTTTAAAAAAATGTAAAATCTGGTTTCAGCTTCTGTCAAGTAAGAACATAATACTGTGCTTTTAATGATCAAATTGTTTTCTTGAAGTGTTTTATAAAATCATCTAGGAAAAAAAAAGTCAGCTTAATTAAATTAACAATGTCAGCTATTAAATTAACCCCCACTTTATCAATATATAAAATCATATATAATACTAATAAATATCAATAAGCATTGTCTAACTGTGCATTACCAGCTACTAATGCAATTTCGTATCTAAATTAGTAAACTGAATCATATTTAAGTATTTTTTACAAGACAATAATTGTCGTCATAATAGTTGTTCCAATATTTCCAATATTATAGGGTTGAAATATTGGAACTAATATGATGACAGATATATAGTCTTCTAAAAATAGTACATATAAAAAATAGATGTATTTTAAATTTAGTATATGTAAAAAAACCGAGTAACATTTTAACTTGATTAATTTTTAGTTAAATATGAAACAATAAAATTAACTTAAATTTTATGTAAGCTATGTATATTAATGTGTTTCTAAAAAATGCTTGTCTTGTTTGCTTTTTTAATTCCTGAAATATAATAAAACTTTACATAGCTATATACTTATCTAAACTGCTTATGTAATATTGTACATTGTTCTCTCTCTCTCTCTCTCTCTTTATATATATATATATATATATATATATATATATATATATATATATATATATATATATATATATATATATATATATATATATATATATATATATATATATATATATATATATATATATATATATATATATATATATATATATAATTAGTAAAAACACTTATCTAATTTTTATTTTCTTCTACAGCTTGTTTCGCTATCAGTTGGATCATCAGGCTTTCTGACGATCCTACTGATGGAGAAACAAGCTGTAGAAGAAAATAAAAATTTGATGTGTTTTTATTAATTTATTATTGCTCTGCTCTTAAGAACATTAGCACTCTATTTGTAGAATACACAGACATAATATATATATATATATATATATATATATATATATATATATATATATATATATATATATATATATATATATATATATATATATATATATATATATTTGTTTTAATTTTATTACATTTTTATATCCCTAATTTTATAACATAATTGATAAAAATGCACCAGAACAAAATTCAAGCTCTAAACAAGCTAAACGAGTTAAAATACATTTTTACAGAAAAATTAAATTTAAGCAATGACCAAAAGAAGGTCAAAGTAGAAAAAAAGTTATAATATAAATGAAGAAAATTTTTTTTTTTAATTTGTACAGTTAGAAACTTCAAAATACCTCAAAATTTATTTTTAGAAAATAAACAAACCACTCAATGTTACAAATAAAAGTTAGCCAAAATACAAATTAAAACATTTAAAATAATTGGTTAGCGTATTTATTTATTTACTAATACAAAAAAGGCATTTATTTATTGATTTAGATCAGTAATATTGTTGCAACATTAATTTTTACAAAAAACCGTGCCTGCATAGCATTCAAACAATTGAATAATGTTTGAAATCAGTAAAGTATCCAGCATTTTTTGGTGTTTGAGATAACTTCCAGACATGAAGCAAACTCCAAACATTTGTATGTTTATACTTATGTCAAACAATAATGCTTTGCAATAAATTGCGATGATCGGATGCTGGGAACAACAAACCCTTAAATTTATACCACAAAACAAGAGGGGTAATAAACCCTCCTCCAACCCAAACGTGAGGCAACTAGTTGGTAATATATTTTTTATTCCATTCTCAACAAGACTTATATTCATAGTATTATCTTTCAGCGTTTATAAATTATGATCATATAAAATTTGTAACCCCTTCAAATTGAGGGAGAATTAAACTAAAGATTTATCAAGGAATGTGAGTTTAGTTAAGAATAAAACAAAAAATATTTCATCAACTTTTTGTTCCTCAGGTTTGAAGTGGGGGTGGGATGAAATTTAAGGGCATTTTTGTTCCCATCTTCCAATCATTGCAATTTTTTGCAAAACATTATTACTTGGCGTAAGTATAAACATACAAACTTTTTGAGTTTGCTCCATGTCTGCAAGTTAGTTATCTTGAACAGAAAAAAATGCTGGATCCGCCACTGTTTGAAATAAATTGATATATATACATATATTTATTCGTTTATCTTAGATGCCCCAAGAAGTTCTTATGGTCCTTCACAGAGTACCATAGAGGAGCATTTGAAAGGATGCCTTAACGATGTTATAAACTTGATGTTATAAAAGGTGGCGTTGAAGCATTAAAATATACATACGGCTCTAAGGATTTGCATTTGTAGCCTTAGCTTTTTTTTAGGGGTGCATCATTTAGCCGATGCATTGATTAATTAACCGATGTATCGGCACGAGCCTTGAAAACCATCGGCCAATGCCGATTATTTTGAAAAGTTTTTTTTTTGTGTGTTTCTACATTATATCCAAACATAGAATAACGCCATAAACATAAATGCAATGTATAAGCCTAACTTATTAATAACAAGTTATAATATAGGTACATATACTATCACTAAATACCATAAAATACCACAATACCACTAAATTAAAAGTTTTTAAACTGCTTTTACCTGGGCTCCTACTTTTGTTGGTGTTTTTTTATAATTTAGTACATTAATTATTTAACTTATGAATACGAAACTCTACAAAGAAGTTTAAAATGAAGAAATGCACATTTAAAAAATAATAACATATAAACATGAAGTATAACATATGACCTGATTTTATTATTAGTGATAATCATTATATTAACTGATTTTACTCCGAGTAGATTGTCCTATATCGGAGTAAGTAGTCCGCTTTAAGTAAAGTTAAATTTTAAAGTAAAAACAATGTATAAAAAGATAGCGGACATTTTCAATTAAAGAAAAATAAAGATAGTACATTTTATATGTAGTTAAAATTACTTTTATCTTATTTCTTATTCTTAGGTGTGTTGTTATATACAAATATTTGTTTTATTAGAAACAATTACTAATTGTTTCTATCAAAGCAAATATTTAGTAACTAATAATAGCAACAGAATAGAATTAAAATAAGTATAATTAAGATTATATATAAAAAGGATTTCCTTATTGAATTGGTAAATCCTTTTTATAAATAATCCTAATTATATTGATTTTAATTTTAATTACTTAGTTACAAAGACTTAGTAACTAAGTCTATAATAAATAATAATAAGGTATAGATGTAACAACTGGTGTTAAGGTGTTAACAGTTGCGAAGTGCAATAACAGTAGAAATAGCACTGTAACAGTTCAGTTTGTTTTTTCTTTATATTTTAACAAAAAGTTTCTGCAAAATTCAGATTTTGCTTAGTTTATTTTAGAATTTATTTAACTATGAGACTTTTATTAGTCTAAGTAACTTATTCTAAGTAAATGAAAATTATGTATGTAAATTATTTAAATTACAAATGATTATCATTAGAAATTGAAATAGTTTACATAAATAATTTTTCATTTATTTAGTAACTAAGTAAATTTTCATTAACATTAGTCTAATGTATTTGAAAATTTTAAATTGATCAAAAATAAGATTCTTATTATCAAAATACTGTTTGATCCATTTAAAAGTTTCATGTTGGGTACCATTCTTATATCAATATATAGTTCTTATTTTTAGAATGATTGTTTTATAAGTTCTTAAATATTTGCTTTGATAGAAGTATTTAGGAAAGTCTTTTTATATATAATCCTAATTATATTTATTTTAATTCTACTTATATACACTTAGTATATATACAAAGTATATATAACAGTACTTATGATAACAACAATTTACTGAGTGACTAAGTAAATTTTAGTTAAATCTGCTTTCTTATAGTATATATACTCTGTACATAGAATTTACTAAAATATCTTAAGTCATGTGAGTTGTCATATCTTAAGTCTTACTGTTATTATTATGATTTCCTAAATGATTGCTTTTATAGAAACATATAGGAAATCGTTTTTACATTTAATCCTTACTAGTAAGTGGAATTAAATTCTAATTATATTTGTAAAAAAGATTATATATAAAAATTTCTTGTATAATCTTTATAAAATATAATTACAGATAACAAAAATTTTAGGAAATCTTTTTTATTAAAAAGGATTTCCTAAAATTTTTGTGATCTTATCACTTGCAAATTTTTTGTACATGTAAATACATTATCTTTATTAATAACTTTTTTTATTAATAAATAATAATTAAATATTTATTAATAAATAATAATGATAATAATAGTAAGAGTAAAAATAAATAATAGGGAGAGTATGCAGGGTAATTTTTAAAGTTAAAAATTATTTAGTTATTTTATTTTTTGATTGCTTTATGTTAATGAAAATAAAAAATGTAATGGACGTGTTTAACAAGTTTTATGTTCATACAAAGTTTTATATTTTTGATAAGAATTGTAATAATTGTATATATTGTTTTTTTTTTTTTTTTTTTTTTTTTTTTTTTTTTTTAAGAATCTCTTCAGTCAATCAATGAAGAAACTACTTTAAGAATGAAGTTATGCCCAGGTCAAAAACTCTGTAGAACTTGTTGTAAGAATAATAAAACTATTGAAAACATAAATATTGAATCAATGACAAAAGCAATAGATCATATATTGAACTTCAGAACCGACTAATTCTGAAATTGCAAATAAAACTTTAAGGATGTTGGGTTGTTCTCCGTTAAAATCAGTGTCTATTCGAGACAGACCCATTCATAGAAAAAAAAATTAAAGAATTTCAAATTATTTGGGAATTTCTAATAATGAAATTTCTATTAGTTGCTCAATAGACAATTAATATTTGAAAAAAATCAACCTTTCACTGAAAAAAAAAAAGAAAAGAAATATCTCAACAGACTGTAGATAAAATTATTGGATTTTATTTTAATGATGAAAATAGCAGGTAAATATCTGGTAAAAAAGATTTTGTGAGTATAGCTCAAAGATCTCATATGCAAAAGCATTTGATTCTCTCAAATCTAAAAGAACTGTATGCTAAGTTTAAAACTAGTTATCCTGGTATAAAGACTTGTTTTTCTAACTTTTGCTCATATTGTCCAAAATAGTGTTTTACAATAGGAGCATCTGGTACCCATACAGTATGTGTGGGCACATACCATCAAAGTGTGAAGATTTTGTTAACAAAAACCTGTTATAGTTTTCAAAGAAAAGTTTTAATTTTGTTGTACTTTATATATTATTTAGTTATTAAAAAAGTAAATCCTTTTTTTTTTTCATTTCAATAGTTCTAATTTTGTTATTATTTTATTTTAGTTTGCCTACTGTTGAAATATGGTTTTAAAATAGTAAACTTTCATGAATTTAAGTTTACTTTATTAATCATTAGCCAACATTTAGGGAAAAGTTGAACTCAACTGAATTAAGGTAGGAATATTTTTATTTACAGTTAAAATTACAGAACAAGATTCAACTATTAGGTAATATCTTATTTTGTGCTATTATTTTATTGCATTTTCTTAATAGCATTAAAAGCTTTTGTGAAATCAAAATAATAATATAATAATTTGTTGCCTTGGTTTTAGCTTTGAACTACTTTCAACTAAGTGCTATCAAAAATAGTGTATAATTTTGTACCGTTTATTTGAAACCACACAAATTAAAACTTACCTTTAAAACAAAAATACAAATGCTGTATATGCAGTTGTGTGGTGGGGACATGGTGTCATAAAGTAGACAATATTGCTATGCTTTCATGTATTTCTTGATGCCCTTATAAATAATGAATCATTTTACAAGTCATTTGGTGCAAGTAAATATTAAGTTGTTGTTTAAAAATGAATACTGATTTGTCATTATTATAAAATTATCTTATTGTTATAAAATTGTTAATGTTGGTTATTTCATTTTCGTCATTGTTATGCATCATTAATATTATGTATATTAATATTACCATTTAAATAACTTATTCAATATTATATATAATTATTATATGTAATTATACTAAATATTAATTACCAGATAATGAAGATGTTAAAGTTTTTAACATCATTTTAAGCATAAACAATGAAAAGTAAAACTATTGTTAACTTTGTCACTAGAGTCATCTTTAAGTAAAGTTAAATAAAAGAAATAGAACATTTCTAAGTTTTTAGTTTCTAAAAATAGAATGGATGTAGGAAATGATGAAAAAGGAGAACAAGAGTTTCTTGATGTTAGTAATTACATAAATAAAGGGGTTTATCCCAATAATTGCACTGCTAATGCTAAGAGAATTATTTGAAGAAAAGCAAACAGGTATAGTCATATTTTATAGTGTATATACTTTTTAAATGTATCAATACTAGTTTAACAATTAAATGTTTTTTAAGAAATAACTTTAGTGCTTTTTTTTTTTAATTTTATTTTTATTAAAATGTATTGGAAGTTGTAAAACTTATATTTTAAGTTTTTTTTAGGTTTAGAATGGAAGGTAATAAATAACCTCACTTTTAAAAAGAGTGTGACTCATCACGTTTTCAAAATACAGCGTTCATTTGTGAAACGAGTAACTTCTTAACTAGAATTACTGATTTTTTATTTTTATTAAAATGTATTGGAAGTTGTAAAACTTATATTTTAAGTTTTTTTTAGGTTTAGAATGGAAGGTAATAAATAACCTCACTTTTAAAAAGAGTGTGACTCATCACGTTTTCAAAATACAGCGTTCATTTGTGAAACGAGTAACTTCTTAACTAGAATTACTGATTTTTTATTTTTATTAAAATGTATTGGAAGTTGTAAAACTTATATTTTAAGTTTTTTTTAGGTTTAGAATGGAAGGTAATAAATAACCTCACTTTTAAAAAGAGTGTGACTCATCACGTTTTCAAAAATGTCTGGCAATATTTATTGATTTAATCTCATAATTCAATTAATTATTAGACTAGTCATTGGTCTTAAAATAAAATGTCTGGCAATATTAGAAAGCTCTACATAAGTAGAATATAAATTCTAATAACATCACTTTTTGTACAGTTTTAATATATTAGTAGATGGGGTTTCACAATCAAACACAAAAAAAATCAAACAAAAGAGACATACTTAAAATGTAAAATATCAGCTTCTAATAACTTCAATGCCACATATGTATTATTGATACCTTTAATAATATATTTTATAATAGCTATATAATCTAAACTATTATAAATAAATTATGAAAAAAAAAATTTATACTGTGTGACATTTCAAATTTTTGATTTATATAATAAAGAAGACATTTAAAATGTCTTCTTTGTTAAATAAATCAAACATTTGAAATGTTTCATTTATTTAATAAAGATTATTAAATAAATCAAACATTTGAAATGCCAATACAGCAATAATTTATTGCTGTATTGGCATTTCAATTTTATTGCTGTATTGGCATTTCAAATTATTGAATAAAAATAAAAAAATAACTTTAAGATCTTACACAAAAATACATTTGAAATGTTTCATTTATTTAATAAAGATTATTAAATAAATCGAACATTTGAAATGCCAATACAGCAATAAAAATAAAAAAATAACTTTAAGATCTTACACAAAAATAATTTGATTATTGCCTTTATTGTTACATTAATGATTTAGAATCTAAATTATTAATGTCTAAATTAAATTATCAATGTCTAATCTAAATTAGATTGTAGTAAAAAATGTTTTAAGCATTACGTTTAAATGTTAACAAATATTTCATTATTTAAAAAAACAAAACATTAAGTCACGAGAATCTCTTGAAGTTTATTTCTTATAAGGAACCTTTTAAGATTCTTAGAAGATTAATAAATATACCTTCTTTTTTTCATTTTTATAATTGCCATTTTTAAAAATGTTTTGCAACAAACTTTAAAGTTTATACTAATCCGCAACTACATTGGCCGAATATTGGCTACGGTATAAATGCAAGTACAGCAAAATATTAAGCCCAAACTACATTGGCCAAATGTTGGCCCAACATAGTACGATAATTGCAAAAAACCGATTTGTAGAATTGCAATATTACGCCAAAAAAAAAAGCATTGGTTAAATGTTCGCCCAATATAATACGATATTTGCAAAAAACCGATTTGCAAAATTGAAAATAATACGCCGAAAAAAAACATTGGCTAAATGTTGGCCCAACGGAATAAACTTGCCAATGTTAAAACTTACGTTGGGCCAATGTAAGCTTGCTGTCTGGGATGTCTACTATTTTGTTTGCAGACGACACTACTTTATTCTATACCCACAATAACATTATCTCTCTATTTTAAGAATATAATAAACTAGAAGAAATAGCAAACTGGCTTATTGCTAACAGCCTATCTTTAAACACTGATAAAACTAAGTTTTCCTTATTCCATTCAAAACGAAAGTTTCAACATTTTCCAAAATCCCTACCAATGGTATATATAAATAACATCAAAACTGAGCGCTCATTCACAAATAAATAATTTGGTATTTTAATAGATGAAAACTTATCCTATAGAAATCATATTAAACATATTAGCAATAAAATTTTAAGAAATATTAGCATTTTATATAAAACCAAACAAATCTTCGACAAACTATGCTCTCCCAATCATGTAATTTTTATGGAGCTACGCTAAGTAAATTCAATAATTCTGCATTGATCACGTCTAAACCAGTAAATGAAAAGGTTTTATGTTTGGGTCTTTCTACTCTGCTGGCTTCTTTTGAGTATATTTTACATTTAGGATCTAAGATAAACAATTAAAAATACTTTGCCAAATCCCCAGCTAAAAAAGCATCCGTAAAAAAGTGAAAAAAATTCTTTAATTCCTCACTAGTCGACTATCTTACAGACAACTTATGAGTTTTATAGGATCGCATATAATCTTATACTATCCTACAGGATATCTTACAGATTTTATTTGTCTTTCAAATCCTATAGGACCATAAGAAATCCTGTGATTACCCATAGAGTATCTTAAAGGATTCGTAAGATTTTATTTGTCTTGCAAATCCTATAAGATCATAAGAAATCCTGTGATTATCCTGTAGGGTATCATAAAGGATTCGTAAGATTTTCAATTTTTTTAATTTATTTTGAAAAATGAAAAACTTATCGGTGATGGGATTCGAAACACGGATCACTAGACCATTAGTGCCTCACCACCTGCGCTACACAACATTATAACTATGGAAATAAATAAAAATATACTATAATTACAAAATAATTAAAAACTATTTTTATTGAATGTATATAAATAAAAGTGTTGTAAAAAAATTAAATAATAACAAATAACTATATATATATATATAAAATGCCGCCAAGAACTGTTTCGCTGCCCGGGAGAGCAAAATGATTGGCGTTCTTAATTATCGAAATTCTCCTATATTATCGATAAAGGACCTTTGTTCCAAGGTACCTTCATTCTATTTGGTGCCCCTTGGAAATCTGCCGCCCGGGACAATCTATCCCTTACGTTAAAATTAAATTATTACCAAAAAAATCTAGTTGAATTAAAATTTTTCTCGCAATCAGAGTGTACATTGAATTGCGTGACTTTCTGAGTAAATTGAGTCGTAGAGTGACGCGATTTAAATCATTAGGCATTATGAATTGCGGGAAAATAAATAGCACTAAAGTGCTATTTATTTTCCCGCAATTCATAATGCCTTCCAATAGCGCATTTAAATCACGTCACAAATCACAAAAATTAAGATGTTAGATACAAAATTAAGATATTAGATTCTCAAACAGCATGTTCATTATAATGAACATGCTGTTTGAGAATCTAATATCTTTTTAATTTTTGTTAAAGAAATATATAAATAGTTGCTATATCATGATTATTTTATATTATGGATTTTATGAAAATTTTATAAACTTGGTAACATAAATATGCATAAATTTTGTTGTATTAATAATTATTATTGTATTTAACTTTACTCTAATTAATTAATAAAAATTAATAACAAAAATTGTTATATATTTATTTTACATATTATATATATATATATATATATATATATATATATATATATATATATATATATATATATATATATATATATATATATTTTAAAGTATGAAAGTTTGCTGTATTTTTAACATATACTATTAAATTTAAAATGTTTTAGAGAAAGTCTGAATACAACTCATAGAGAGGCTGATAGGTAGGTTTTTTAATTAGGGCATTTTTATGTAAGTAATGTTATTGGGCAGCAGCTTTAAGGCTTACCTATTTTTTATAAGTTGTTGGCACAGGGTGGGAGGGGGTTATTTAGAAAATCATACTTTCAGTGCTTGGGTTTTTATTAAATTTTCTATTTTTCTTATCCTATTTTGAAAATTTGGGATCAATTAGTTAAACTTGTTGGATCATGATCCAGATCCAAAAAAGTAGGATCTTGGACTAACAACTTCTCATACTTCATTTATTGAAATAATTATAAATATGTAAGTATTAAAAAAAGCTTCTTGGAAAATATGAAACTTCAGGATTACAAAGAAAAGCCAGAATTCAAAATGTAAGTTTTTGACCAGTCATTCGTTTGACCAAATCTATCCATGGATTTGACTAATATGCTCAGATTAGGCATTTCAAATGAATTTTTTTTTTCCTCAAATTCGCCTAAATATTTGGAGCAAGTAGCTAAAATTTCAAGTGTTTTTACTTTTTACTTAGTCATACTCTTTAAATAATTTAAAAATTTTGTCAGGGGGTAATAATCCCCCTCCTTTGTGTCTGCGATGGGTTAAGGAGCGGGACGGGTTTTATATTTTTAATTAATTATTAATTGCCTGATTTCTATTATTTTTTGTTTATATATCTTTATTTCTTATTATAGAACCACAGTTCCTGATGCAATAATACGAAATTTCAAAGAGAAACTTGCAACAGTTTTTGCCAATTACTCATGAGCGTGCGTCAGACGAAGTCTTAATCAGAGCGGCCTAGATAGGAAGAAAAAACGAAAGTAATCAGCAATGCAATTGTGATTCTGTAATAATGATAATATGTGAAAAATTTCTTTTATACAGAATGATTTTTTTTTAATAAGAAAATGTTATTTCAAACTTTAACCTATTATCAGTAATTAAAAAGAAGAATAGACATACTTTCCTTCCAATCAAAATAAAAACCTAACTTCGTATGTTCTTAGTTTGGCTATTAGATTTATGATATTAATTATAAAATAATAAATGTTATGGTTCCTATCATTGGCGTATTAAGACTTTTCAGGGCTCGGAATCCTTTTTAACGTGCCACAGCATAAAAATGACTAAAACAGTAGAAAAAGAAAAAGGTCCGCCTAATAGTTTCGGAATCCCGAAATTTTAGGGCCCTAGCCCCCTCCTCCTTAATCTATCACTGGTTCCTATGGGAACCAGTGCTGGATTAAGGGGTAGGGCTACGGCCGTATATATACGAATCTAAAATTTTCCTTCAGCATCCTATAAGAATCCTGTTAATCCTGCAAGATCTTTTAAAATATTCTTGTAGATCTTATATTATCTTATAAGAATTCCTTCAAATCCTACAAGATCCTTCAAAAGATTCTTGTAGGTCCTGCAGGGACTTGAGCATCTCATCCTATATGATTCTTGTAGGATTTGTAAGATCAGTCGTCTAGTGGTTACCCTATTCGGGTTTTAGCTTCAGTAATGATGAGAACAACAAAGAAGAGCCTTTTAAAATGCTGAAATTATTACTGGAATGGTATTAGATGTAAATACCAGATTGAGGACAATCCTGATGATTGTTATGCTCCTGTTATAAATTGGACTCTGAAAGTTTTAGGCAGTATTGCAATAAAACTACAGCTTTTATACTTTAAAATTACAACTGGTTCATCCAACTTATCCATAAAGTTATAGAACATGGAGTGTAGATATCTAAGGCACTGGAACTCCCAAATTGATTGATACTCTGAGAAGTCTACACTAGACGACTGATCTTACAAATCCTACAAAAATCCTATAGGATGAGATGCACAAGTCCCTGCAGGACCTACAAGAATCTTTTGAAGGATCTTGTAGGATTTGAAGGAATTCTTATAAGATAATATAAGATCTACAAGAATATTTTAAAAGATCTTGCAGGATTAACAGGATTCTTATAGGATGCTGAAGGAAAATTTTAGATTCGTATATATACGGCCGTAGCCCTACCCCTTAATCCAGCACTGGTTCCCATAGGAACCAGTGATAGATTAAGGAGGAGGGGGCTAGGGCCCTAAAATTTCGGGATTCCGAAACTATTAGGCGGACCTTTTTCTTTTTCTACTGTTTTAGTCATTTTTATGCTGTGGCACGTTAAAAAGGACTCCGGGCCCTGAAAAGTCTTAATACGCTAATGATAGGAACCATAACATTTATTATTTTATAATTAATATCATTAATCTAATAACCAAACTAAGAACATACGAAGTTAGGTTTTTATTTTGATTGGAAGGAAAGTATGTCTATTCTTCTTTTTAATTACTGATAATAGGTTAAAGTTTGAAATAACATTTTCTTATTAAAAAAAAATCATTCTGTATAAAAGAAATTTTTCACATATTATCATTATTACAGAATCACAATTGCATTGCTGATTACTTTCGTTTTTTCTTCCTATCTAGGCCGCTCTGATTAAGACTTCGTCTGACGCACGCTCATCAGTAATTGGCGAATACTGTTGCAAGTTGCTCTTTGAGATTTCGTATTATTGCATTAGGAACTGTGGTTCTATAATAAGAAATAAAGATATATAAACAAAAAATAATAGAAATCAGGCAATTAATAATTAATTAAAAATATAAAACCCGTCCCGCCCCTTAACCCATCGCAGACACAAGGGAGGGGGGGGGTGATTATTACTCCCTGACAAAATCTTTAAATTATTTAAAGAGTATGACTAAGTAAAAAGTAAAAACACTTGAAATTTTAGCTACTTGCTCCAAATATTTAGGCGAGTTTAAGGGAAAAAAAAATTCATTTGAAATGCCTAATCTGAGCATATTAGTCAAATCCATGGATAGATTCGGTCAAACGAATGACTGGTCAAAAACTTACATTTTGAATTCTGGCTTTTCTTTGTAATCCTGAAGTTTCATATTTTCCAAGAAGCTTTTTTTAATACTTACATATTTATAATTATTTTAATAAATGAAGTATGAGAAGTTGTTAGTCCAAGATCCTACTTTTTTGGATCTGGATCATGATCCAACAAGTTTAACTAATTGATCCCAAATTTTCAAAATAGGTTAAGAAAAATAGAAAATTTAATAAAAACCCAAGCACTGAAAGTATGATTTTCTAAATAACCCCCTCCCACCCTGTGCCAACAACTTATAAAAAATAGGTAAGCCTTAAAGCTGCTGCCCAATAACATTACCTACATAAAAATGCCCTAATTAAAAAACCTACCTATCAGCCTCTCCATGAGTTGTATTCAGACTTTCTCTAAAACATTTTAAATTTAATAGTATCGTGTTAAAAATACAACAAACTTTCATACTTTAAAAAATATATACACTCTTAAAAAAGTTCCGGCAAACTCTGGCCGGAATGGTTCAGGTAGAAAGATTTACCTGAACATTCAGGCAATAAAATTCAAACATTCAGACAAATTGCCGTAAAAGTTCAGGTATTTTAGCAAACCACCTAAACACTTTGTGTAAAATTCCTGAAATGTTCAGGAAAAAGTAGTTTCGTGAACTTTTCTACCGGAATGTTCAGGTTCTTTACCGGAAACATCAAGTAAATTGCCTGAAAATCTGAAAAAATTTTATGCGCCAGCGGCAATCGCACTTCTTTTTCTCTATATACTATATATACATTTCTCTTTCTCTATATACTATATATACACTTCTCTTGTTCTCAAGACATATTTGAATTATATACATGTATGTATGAGTGTATAGATATAAAGAAGGTAAGATATAAACATATGATATAGTATATCATATTATTAACATATATACTATATAATATATAGTATATATATAATAAATATCATGTCACTATATATCACTGTATATACTATACATATATACTATATATATATCATGATAATATATTATATAAATAGTTTATTTATAATATAATTATAATGATAATATATTTATCATATTAGTATGATATACACTATATATAGTGTATATCATACTAATATGATAAATATATTATCATTATAATTATATTATAAATAATATAGCATATTAGATAATAATAGTATAATAGTATAGTATTAGATAATAGTATATATTATAATATATAGTATAATAGCATAGTATTAGATAATAATAGTATATTAAATAATATAATATAATAGTATACTACAATATAATATTGAAATAGTATACTATATCGATATCATATTGTATACAATATGATATCGATATAGTATACTATTTCAATATTATATCGATATCATATTGTATACAATATGATATCGATATAGTATACTATTTCAATATTATATTGTAGTATACTATTATATTATATTATTTAATATACTAGTATATTATAATATTATCATAGTATATTATACCGATATGATGAATAATTGTGATTTTAAAATAAATACAAAATGTGACTATAGACTATATGGTGTTTATTATAAAAGTTATGTATTATGTGATGTGTATAATTTATAAACTTTACAAATAAAAAGATGTGCATACAATGAAATTTATAAGTTTCATTGTATGTATATCTTTTTATTTATAAAGTTTATAAATTATACACATCACATACTACATAACTTTTATGATAAACACCATATAGAATGTGATGTGTATAGATGTCAAAATATATTTATATTATTTATCATATCAATATAGTATATTATAATAATATCTTAAATTTACAAAGTCTAACTTAGTTCAACTAAGTTTAAGTTTGTAAAAAAAAAGAAGTAAATAATTAAAGTAAATAAGTAATAGATGTGCACTTGGATTTTTGAATTCTACTATTTTTATAAAGTGCTGGTTGCAATAATTAGTCCAAAATGTAACTGATTATAAACTGTATAAATTGTATTAAAATATGAAAAAGTGTCTTTTAACTCTATTGAAACAAAGATATATAGTTCTTTTACTAAATATACTATTGATTATTATTTTAGATGAAGAAATTGACGGGACAGCTTTTTTGGAGTTGAAGGCATTATTGCTGCATGCAATGGGCATCAAAATGGGCCAGGCCATTAAAATTCAAGCCATAATTAAGGGAAAAAAGGTGAAAAATATAATTATAATAAAATATGGAGCTCAGAAAATTTTATTTATTTTTTATTAAAAATATATTTTTAGTTAAATATAAATTATGATGATTAAATTAATGCATTAGTGTAACATTTTTATATTTTACATGATATTTTTAAGGGATTTTTACGACTGAGTTGTTACTTGTGCACAAAAAAATTTCAATCCACTAATGATTATACTTATCATTTAAGCAACACACACCTGTTGTTTGAACCTTGTTTTTTACGATGCAATGCTGATGGTTGCATGTGCACATTCACACTTTATAAAGTGTTATGTAAACACATTAAAAAAACTCATATGTGTCATAATAATTTGAAAGAAGTTGATAAACATTCAGATATTACTATCCAAAATACAGAAAATGAATACTTAGCTGAAGATTACAATGAGGTTTTATATTCTGAAAGTTTAACAAAAGAAAGTGTAGCAAAAGAAAGTGTTTTTGTTGCACCTATTGTAGACGAGTATGGTGTTTCACACGCAGCATTAAAATTTTTGATGTCTCTGCAATCTTCTAGTTCCATTTCTCTAAGCGTATCTCAGTTCATAATGGATAGTTTAAATGAGTTGTTAAAGGATATTATTAATTATCTGCTTGCCAAGACAGACGTTGTGTTAAAAACATACAGATGTAATGCCGCAACATTTAATACTCTTTCAGAAGAATTTAACAACTGGAAAAATCCTTTTAAAGGCATTGATACTCATTATAAAATGTTGAATTATCTTAAAGTAAAAGGTCTCTATGTTGAACCTGAAGCACATTCAATAGGAGATCGGTGGGATGTTAAGCAAACAGATCAACAAAGCAACAAATGCAGGTGTGTGTAAAAAATAAGTTTTACCTTATACCAATTGAGAAAACTTTGAAATTGGTTTTGCGACAACCTGAGACTTGGAAAATTTTAAAAAGAAACAATGAGTCAGCAAATGATGTAGCAGAAGATTGGTTAGATGGTAAGCATGGGAGACAGCTAAAAACATATGCCAAACATTATTTTTCTAACAGTATTCATGTATTTATTCAGATTTATTTTGATGAGGTAGAGACAACAAATCCGCTTGGATCCAAAGCTGGAATACATAAGTTAGGTGCATTTTATTTCACAGTAAAAAACTTTCCACCAGCTGCAAATTCTGCATTAAGCAATATTCATTTGTTGGCCTTGGCACATTCGGAAGACATTAAACGGTACACCACTGATCCTGTTATGGAAGTTATTGTTCAGCAATTAAAAGACTTACATGATGAGGACTTTACTGTTTTTTGTGATGGAAAAGAGATAAATATTCGTTGTTTTTTAACACAAGTTGTTGGTGATAATTTAGGGCTACATGCAATTCTTGGATACATGGAAAATTTTAGCAGTGCTTCATTTGCTTGTGACTTGTGTATGGCAACTCAGGATGAGATGCAAAAAGTATTTTGTGAATATTCTCTTACAATGAGGACACAACAATCATATGAGCAACATATTGAGCAGCTTAATAATGGTACCATTTCATCTAAAGAGTGTGGCATAAAGCGTCCCTCAACTTTAAAAAGTTTGAACTATTACCATCCTGCTTGTAATGACTCAGCCGATATAATGCATGATTTGTTTGAAGGTGTAATTCCGTTTGAAGTCAAGTTATTTTTGTGCCACATAATTTATGACTTGAAGCTTATTAATCTCCATGGGCTTAATTGTCGTATTAATACAATGGATTAGGGTTTGGTTAGTAACTCAAAGCCAAGTTTTATAAGTGAGTCACATTTAAAAAGTCACAGCTCATTGCTTGGACAAAGGTCAGCTCAGATGCTGATTTTGTTTTTACATTTACCATGTATTTTAGCTGATGTTATTGACAAAGTAGATAATTTAAAATGGCGTTTGTACCAATTGCTAAAACAGCTGACAGAAATTATTTTATTGCCAAACTCTGTACTGTCGCATGTTTTGTACTTAAAAGATCTTGTTTCAGAGCATCATGAGTTATTTAAAATATGTTATCCTGATAAAAGACTTTTATACAAACATCACAGAATGGTTCACTATGGTACTATAATAGAGAATAGCGGACCACTTTTACATATGATGGTAATGCGGTTTGAAGCTAAGCATAACTTTTCTAAGCGTCTTGCTCATATCATTTGTTACTTTAAAAATATAGCGTTTTCTCTCGCAAGCAGACACCAATTTTCTCATGCTTTTGTTTGGATGACTAGGTGTCCATTAAAGGGGATTTCAGAAGTTGGAAATGGTACAATTATTTCATCGTCAGATATTAAGCATAAGTCATTAATTTTACCTTTTATTGGTGAAAAAATAGATGTGTTTATGACTGAAAAAGTAGTCATTTTTGGTCAAAAGTACCAAACTAAGATGTCTGTACTTCACTCTATTAGTGATGAAGGTGAACCGTCATTTGTTAAAATTGAACAAATATATGTTCATCACAGTGTAATTTATTTAATTGGACTTAAGTGGCTTGTCCACATGTATTGTGATCTGACTCTATCGTATTGTTGTTCTCTCGATTCAGAGCGTGTATGTTTGAGAGCAAGTGACTTAGCAGATTATAAACCTTTTGATGCTGTTCATTGTTTAAAACCTACATGTATATACAAGCATATTATTTTACGTCACCATTTGTATCATTGCAATGTATTAAAATGATTTTTTAGTTTTATTAATTTGTATATTTTACTTAATTCTCAATTCTTAAGATAGCAGTTAAAGAAAAGCTTATTACTAAGTTGCTAAAAATAGTTTGGTTAAATAAACAAAATCTAAAAGTATTTATAACTCACTATAACGTGTCCAAAACAATATATATATATATATATATATATATATATATATATATATATATATATATATATATATATATATATATATATATATATATATATATATATATATATATATATATATATATATGTATATATATATAAATATGATTATAATACATTTTTATTCCTTTAATAAACAGAAGTAAATATAAACTGCTTTTTTTTTGTAGAAAAATGATAGTGTATTAAAAGACGTAACATGTTTAAAAGATACAACAGCTATAGCTTTTAGTTTAACTGAAACTTTAAACAGCCCCCTTGATGAGTCAGCTGTGTCACCAACATTATCATCGACACTTCAACTTTCACCTGACGTTTTAAACGAGTCAAGAAAAATTAAGTTAAATGTTTCTACTACTGATGTACAGGTTGCTTTAAGATTGGATAACATTGACTTTGTAAGTATACCTTATAACTTATAATATAACTTATTTTTTTAAGTGTTTTGTTTATACTTAGTTCATTATTTTACACCACATTATTTCAGCAATTAAATAAATTCTTTTTATAATTTAAAAAAAATAAATTTTCAACTTATACAAATGAAGATCTTCTTTTTATGTAGAAGATACGTAGTTTGCTTGATGAGCATCAAATAGGTAAGCTTGTTTTGGCAGAATATGATTCTACAGGTGCACTTATTAAAAGGCGTCAAGATATTATCCACATTGTTGTTAACTCAATGGTCCATAGAGTTGGAAATATGTAAGTTTATGTTTATTTCCGTATTATTATGGAACTATTGACATAAGAATGAAAATATTAGTTTATAACAAATTATTTATAAAGTTATTTATAAAAATTATCAAACATTTGCTTATAATAAATTTTAAATATAAAAATATTTTTGTTAATATATATGTTTTAGGTATCCTTCCACAAAAACCAAATCTAATCTTGCAAAAGCAATTATCACTGCCTTTCCAAAGCTGCATTCTGGTGGAAAACTTGGATATGTGAGACTATTAGAGACATTTT